GGCAGTGCCGAGTTTGCCTGCCTCGCCACGAGAGTACTCTTCGTTTTACTGCCGCCACCAAGCGATGTCTGAGACACAGCTGGTGTGTCAGAAGTGCAGAGACTCTGTGTTGCTGGAGAACTCCCATGCATCAGGGCGGAATGCCCTGAAGCGTTGTGCAGCAACTGACAAGTCCTTGCAGAGGTCTTGCAAGACCAAGGTTAAGGGGGCTGACGAAACCCCGGCAGAGCAAGACATGAGAATGAAGGCCGAAAAGGTCAAAAGCGAAGTGGCCAAGATGAGCGAGGAGGACAGAGCCGTACAAGAAACAGAAAGCCAAAAGAGAAGCTGAAGGATTCTCCAACAAACGCCGCACGTTTGAATCCGGAGTGGGAATCGTGGAGGAGAATCGCAGCCGGCACAGCGGCAGCGATGACGTGGCCCGGTGGACCAGATTCCGAGACTGGGCCGCAACAGAAAGGTTGGTGACCGGTTGCTCGCCCGAGAAGCTCCCCACCCGTTGGAAGCGGGAGCTGGACAAGCCGACCAGCCAGACGAAGACTGTGAATGGCGAGGTCCTGCTGCGTGTGTGGACCGGCCTGGAAGACAGAGATGGCAGCCGCCACAGCATCACAGCAGGCCTCAAGCAGAGGTGCGATCTTCACAACTCCGAGGACTTGGAGGCCTTCGGCACCCAAGCGGACATGCGCCTGCAAAGGGGAGAGACGTTGCTCCGTGCAGACCGCATGAGCTCAGATGCCGCCGGGGTCCACAGAGAGACCCCTCTGCTTCAGATCCAAGCAGACATGGAGGCGTCGAGCAAAATGAGGATGGCGGCCGAAGCGCTGCTCTACGAAGAGGCCGAGAAGATTGAGGAAAAACGGCGACAACTCCTCTCCCAGAGACCGAAGGTGTCAAGTGCGGCACTCGAAAAATTGCAATACGAAAGCAGCATCAGCAGGGCTCGGTCGAGTTGTGAAGCGAGTTTGTATCGTTTCAAGACAGCTCTCAAGACCGTGAAGCTGGAGATCGAGCAGATGTCCGAGAACGACCCCACCACCATGGTCGAGATGAAGACAAGGTCGGACAAGTTCGAGGAGATCTACAAGGGTGCCGAGCAGTACTTGGAGGAGACGATCGAGCATCTTGGCTGTGCATTCTAGAACAGAGTCTTTCTCAGAGCTTTTGATAGTTTGGGAAACAGCAGAATAGAGTCCTTCCCAGAGCTTTTGATAGTTTGGGAAACAGCAGAATAGAGTCCTTCCCAGAGCTTTTGATAGTTTGGGAAACAGCAGAATAGAGTCCTTCCAGAGCTTTTGATAGTTTGGGAAACAGCAGAATAGAGTCCTTCTCAGAGCTTTTGAGTGTTTGGGAAACAGCAGAATAGGGTCCTTCTCAGACTAATAGAGTCCTTCCCAGAGCTTTTGATAATTTGGGCCACAGCAGAATAGAGTCCTTCGCAGAGCTTTTGATAGTTTGGGAAACAGCAGAATAGAGTCCTTCCCAGAGCTTTTGATAGTTTGGGAAACAGCAGACTAGAGTCCTTCGCAGAGCTTTTGATAGTTTGGGAAACAGCAGAATAGAGTCCTTCTCAGAGCTTTTGAGTGTTTGGGAAACAGCAGAATAGGGTCCTTCTCAGACTAATAGAGTCCTTCCCAGAGCTTTTGATAATTTGGGCCACAGCAGAATAGAGTCCTTCGCAGAGCTTTTGATAGTTTGGGAAACAGCAGAATAGAGTCCTTCCCAGAGCTTTTGATAGTTTGGGAAACAGCAGAATAGAGTCCTTCTCAGACCTTTTGATAGTTTGGGAAACAGCAGATTAGAGTCCTTATCAAGGTGTTTGATAGTTTGGGAAATACCTAGTCTATCATTCTTGTAGTTTGCCGAGCCCAGGAAATGGACAACTGCTTTGGAAAGCAACCCTTCGGACACCTCCGACGAGGCCGCCGGGAAGTGGCACCAGTACTTCATGGATGTTTCGGCCTTTGTGAAGACGTTCGCATCAAAAGATGCGGTGAAAAAGGTGAAGGACAACCTGGCGGAGATCAGGGCCTGGTGTGCCGAGTACAAGAAGGGCTGCAACAAGAAGAAGCGACTGTCAGTTTCCTCGGCAAACAAGGCAGCCAAGAGCCACAAGACAGGTAGCCTGCCTCCCGGCAGCAACTCCCCACTTGGCGAGGCCCTGTCGAACCTCTTCTGGACCCAAGCAGTGGAGAACATCGACGAGGATCAGGGCGTGGTGTTTGCCGCTGCCGACTGGGTTGAGAAGGAGAACCAGGCCTTTGCCCTGGTTCTGGCTGCAGCCCAGAACCAGCAGCTGTTGCAGGAGTGGCTGGAGTTGCCGTACTACGAGCAGCAGAAGACCTGGCTGGCCGAAAGCTGGAAGAAAGGCAGCGGCCCCGAGCTGTCAACCAACGTGGTCGCCAAACCGCAGCTTTGCACGAAGCTCAACAAGGATTGGATGAGCTGCCTTGGCAATGCATCCAAGCACATCAAGGATGTCACCACAGACGGTGATTTGAAAGAGGTGTTTTCGCCAATGTTTTGGAGGGGGAAAAACACCAGCAAGATCTACTTCACAACAGACTATGCCTTGACTGAGTTCAAGATGTGCTTGGAGGGCACATCTGTGTGCTGCGGATTCCAGATCAATACCACGATGATGAAAGACGGCTTCAAGGCTTTCTGTGATGCGACCCTGGCCACGGACCCAAACGACTTCCTGAAAATCTGCCAGAAAAAAGGCTGGATTGTTCATCTGTCCCCGGGCAAAGCCCTGGGCATCCCAGCCGGCCACTGCTACTGTCAGATGGCCCAGGACGTCACCCATGGCTGCCGGGTCCTGAAGCTGAGGGCCAGCGATGACAAGTCATCCGTTGGCCTGCTGACCGCACGAATTGCGGATTATCCAGAGCTGATTGGTTTGCGCACTGGCAGGCTCCTGAACTGGATTTCCGGCAGCCAGGATGCTGCAGCTGCAGCTGCCCCTTCCGCAACAAAGGATGTTGTGGGGGCAGCGTAGATGATCTTCTTTGCGAGGATTCCTCGCGATCTTTCCCTTGCCGATTTGCCATCTGATAGCAATGTCAGTGCTGCGGCTTTGTTCTTCTTTCAAAAACACCCCGAGCAAGTGAAGAGAGTTTGAAACGGTTGTGCTGCCGTTTGCGGGAGGGTGCCTGCCAGCCAAGAGCATCACCAAGGTGAAATCTTGTGCGGCAGCCCTTGGGAGGCTACACAGCGTTGCGAGTTCTTTTACTTCTCACAACCTCAACCTTGGAGCTTTGTGAAGCTGTGAAAAAATGATACTCGCCACGGTCATGCCCAGATCCCAAATATCATAGTTAGCTAAAAATTCTTGTTTCGAAGTTGTTGCTTGCTATTCTTATCTAAACTTCAAAGTCCCAGCGTTACCCCAAACCTTAAACCAGTTGCTGCTTTGGTGAGCTGTTTCCTTCTCAAGGTAGGTTTTTTTTGTGTAGTTTCAGCTGTAGAACATGTATATCAAGTTCGTGCTGCCGAATGACGCACCATCCCTCGATGGAATCACAACGTGCCCGCTGCACTGCCAGTATGAGCAGAACGACTTCACTAACAATGTGGACTGTGTGACACAAAATGTTTTGGAGGCTCATTTCGGGATTGGCCCTCCAACAGTCAGCGGAGGGGTTGCTGTGGATCCCCTTGTCGATGTCTGTTTGATTCTCATGGATTGGAAGATTGAAGACTTCTGGCAAGAAGTTTTGGTCTTCAACTGCTTCACCTCCAGAGTCGAGTTCCGATCTTGGGAGCTTGAAGACTTCGGGGCAGTTTTGCGAGCATTAGACACAAACAGGGCCACAGAGCTTAGCGAGTCTGGAAAGTGACTTTTGCTTTTCAGCGAAAAAGGCTTCTCAGGATCCAACACCACGGCAAATGATCAAACTCTCATGTTTCCGCAGGTGCACAGGGAAGACCTCTGGGGAGCAAATGCTGCATTCATCTGCGGCAACTCTCCTCAGCAGGTTCCAGTTGCAGACCTCGGAAATTTTGATGTCTTGCTGAAGGTTCCAGGTGCAGACCTCGGAAATCTTTATCTTTTGCTGAGTGTGTAGATCTAGCACTTCTGTATTCTGCGAACAGCGAGATTAACCACAGCGGGATGCGAAAAAGAAGCAGAGTCTTTCAGAACAAGGGCGCTCGAAGAGACGTCTACTAGATTAGGCCCAAACCAGGAGTCCAATTTTAGAAGTTGGATCAGAGTGTGTGCTCCAGCTGTGATTTCAGCCATATTCAAGTTTTTGGACAGATCAACCCCATCAGCTTCAATATCATGGTTTTTGTCAACTGCCCACTAAGACAAGATCTGCCAACGACAGGACACCAGACATTTTAGGCCAAAACAAAAATTAAGTTATCTTTGAACCGCAAAACACAGGGTCAAACCTGGTGTTGGATGCGACAGTGTAAGCTGTATTCCGAAATAGCTTCCAGAACCGAACCCTCGACCAACCCTTGCCCGTTTTGCATTAGGGGTTTGGGGGGACCCTTGCCTCCACCGACTTCCATATGCCGAGTGGGTTGTGCTTCAGCTTGACCGATTTAAGGGTCGTGGGGTCTTTCAGGTCCGTGACAATGCTGCGCTGCCCATTCCGGGTAGCCTATGCTTGCCAGTGTGCACCTCTCGGCATGACGTGCATCATCAGATCTACCACACCATGGCTGTGGTGTTACACTATGGTGCTCAGGTGTCCTCGGGGCACTACCGTGTTTTGCTGATGGGGCAGGGGTCGGGGAATGACGGTGCAAGTGCTGTGCATTACATCACAGATGACGACCGTCAGGCTGTGCGTTGTGAAGCATCCGAGCTTGAAAATTTGACATCCCGCATCTACATGCTCTTTATGCAGCGTGCAGCGCAGCCTGTCCTGTCGGATGTTGCGCTCACTGCCTGATACCGCCTCTCTGTATGTGCTTGCTCCAGGGTCAGTGGGTTTCATGAGTGTTTGTGTACTACATGTCGCGAGCGCTTGATGTGCCTGGCCATGCATGCATTGTCTTCAGTGTCACATGCGGCGGATGCAGTGACGACATGTGGTGCTGATGGGCCTTTGCACTTTCCTGGGCAGGCGCAGTGCGGTGAGGCATGGCAGCGTGTACTCCTGGACATGCCAGCTTCCTTGATTCTTTCAGATGAGACTTTGGCGATGTACCTGGTCATTCGTGGTGTACAGATACACATGATTCGTGACACTGGTATCCGTATCTATTTTGAGCAGTTTCAAGCGGGCCCGGAGCATCATCATGCCATCACTCGGCAGATACTTGAGGAGCTTGAGGGTGCTGATATGTGGCACCAGCTTGCATTCTTTCGTTTGATGCTGGATGGAGATCATAGGGAGGATTTCTTTGAGATGGCACATACACTTATTTTACATCGCATGCGAGAGGATCCTCGGCCGTTCCACTTGCTTGTTCGCGAAAGTGAATACTCATTGGCCTGGTACGCTGCTCTGGCATCTGATGGGACCAGACTGCTCTCCACTGCCTCGGATGTTGCTTCAGAAGTTGCTCCAACTGAGCAGGATGTGGATTCCGATCTGTCTCATGATTCCTTCGACTCTTTTCTTTCTGACTCTGAGCTGTGAGGGTTGCTTAAGTGTAGGTAGGATGTAGTGTTGTTGCCGTGGTTTCACATGTGAAGGCGACCACATTGTAGTTCCCACCTTTTCCGTACGTGTCACAGCGAGGGTGACCGCTTGTGCATCCTTGGTCCCGTGTTCAGTGTCTAACATTGCTCTGGGCTGGTGACAGCCTTTTTGCTTTGTACAGCTTCTCTATCATTGCAGCTTGCTTGCAATCTTTTGCAACTTTCGCGAATTTAGCTGCACTGCAGCCGGAACGAAGTTCTGTTCGTGTCACGTAAGATGGATCCAACCTGTCTGCGCTTCAAAGTCAAAAAAGTACTGCCTCTGCTGCACGTTCCAGGCCTTTGCCTCAGGCTGAGCGTGATGGCTGCCCAGTGCCTCAACCGCTACGAAGCGCTGCCGAGCCGCAGGGCCTCTCTACACTGAGTGGAGCCGACAAGGACCGTGTCCTCGCTGCCAACAAATTGTACCGTGCCGTCGGGCGCGTTGTGGACCTCGCCCTGCAGCTTGGTATCTTCGCTACTGTCGAGAACCCTCTCAACAGTTTGGCTTGGCTTTGTGACGGCCTTGATCACCTCTGTCGCCGTGAAGACGCCTACCAGCTCATCTTCGATGCTTGCATGCACGGCGGGGATCGAGACAAAACAACATTGTTCTGGTGCTCCGACGCACGCTTCCAGTCGTTGGCTCTACGCTGTTCTCGTGACCACAAGCACGCATCTTGGAAGCCTCGTTTTTCGGATGGACATTGGCAATTTCCCACTGCCCAGGAGGCCGCGTACCCTTGGCTTCTTTGCGAGCGCATGCTTTAGATTTTGGCCGAGGCTTACCCAGCTTTGGCTTCTACTTCACAGCAACCAAGGGCCTGCGAGCAAGTCGCACTGCAGCGACAGCCAAAGTACGCTCGACCGCTGGTTTCCTGCTACCTACGACTGTTGGGCTGTACCTGTGCGTTCTACGGACGCTGCGGCACCTCTCTTGAAGTGCTACCCCAAGGGAGCACGTGTGACACAACGCAAACTAGTGCCATGGGGAGCAGTCCGGGTTTGCGCTGTCTCAACATATGCTGGCTTTGATCGACAGAGCTCTGCCGAGCTGCTAGGTGAGGCGGCCAGGATCTCTCAACCCGATTCTTCAGACTTCTCTTTGATTGCAGGGGAAGATGAAAACGAAGTGTACAAGGTGGTTGGCATGGTGTGTGATGACAACCCTTGTGCTACCCAGGCAGAAATCCTTACCATTGGTGTTCCACGCGAACCCGAGGACTTTGTAAAGGCTGCAGTTCGAGCGGGGCACCCTCGCAATGCGATACTTGTCAATCGTCAAGGTCCTGCAAAGGAAATCGCTGCCAACGTGGTTATGCCAGCAGAGGAACGCAGGAGAAGAGCCGATAAGGCCCGCGATGCGTGGAAGAAGATTGCCAAGGAGTCGGCTAGCCCCAACGACGCGCTTATGAAACAAAAACCCACGTACCTGGCGAAGGCACTGGCCGGGAAAAACGTCATTGCTTGGAGGCGCATTCTTGAGAGAAATGGTTTTCCTGATAAGATGCTTTGGGCTGACTTGCGTGATGGTTTCCGCTTGACTGGATGGATGAGGGAGACTGGAATCTTCAAGCCGCGCGTCAAGGCGCCGGAATCTTCCCTTGAAAGCTTGTTGACGCAATCGTCCTATCGATCTCCAATGACTATGAGCCGAATAACAAACACGAAGCCAGACGACACGTCTCAGAAGGCGTGGGCTGAAACTCAAGAGGAGGCGCGCAAGGGCTGGATCTTCGAGGACACAGACCCCGACTTCGACAACATAGTTCTGGCGCATCGGTTCGGACTGGAGCAGAAAAAACAAGGTGAGGGTGATTGACAATGCGGCTTGAATATGGCTTGCGGGCTGCCGGAGAAATTCACCTTACACGGGGTCGATGTTCTGGCGGCCGTCTTCCTTGAGTTGTTGAATATGCCACGCGACCGGCTGTTCAGATTGGTTGGGAAAACGATAGATCTCGTCTCAGCTTATAAATTCTACCCTGTGCACCCTCTTGATCGACAACACTTGAGAATTGGAGTGTTCGACACAGACAGCAAGAGGCCGCGAGTATATGGAACAAACGTCCTACCGTTCGGTGCTACTGGAAGTGTGGCTGGTTTCCTCAGGGTTTCAGCTGCCATCTGGCACACTGGGGTCAAGGACATGGGACTTGGATGGTGTGCCTACTTTGATGATTTCCCATTGCTATCGTGCGATGGAATGGAGGAACAAATCGAAGAACTTGCTGACGAAGTGTTCGAGGCTCTTGGAGTTCAGTACGCTAAAGAGGGCACGAAGGCAACAAAGTTTGAAGCAGTCTTCAATGCGTTGGGCTTGGCCTTGGATCTGTCGGGATTTGAGAATGGGGTCATCTCCATCACGCATACCAGCGATAGAAAGAGAAGGAGTTGAACGACGTCCTCGGGAACATCTTGCAGACGGGCAAGCTGAGCCCCAAGGAGGCTGAAGTTCTCAGGGGGCGCATGCATTGGTACTCTTCTTACTTGTTCGGCCGGGCACCTTGCGAAGCTATGCATCAGCTGTCTTTGAGGGCCAGGGGGATAGATGGTTCGTTGGAACTGGGTGCTGATCTGGAATGGGCTTTGAGGACCCTGCTGGAACATGTCAGTACCTCGAGACCCTTGGAGTTGAGGCAGATTTCTGGGAGGGAGCTCTTCGTCTTCACCGATGGATCTTATGAACCGGGCGCTGAAATTGTGGCCGGCATCGGGGGAATAATTTATGATGCCTCTGGTGTCCCGCTGGCTTTCTTCAGCTCGGAGATCCCCAAGTCTGACTTGGAAATTCTGGAGGCTGAATCCGAGCATCCAATGTATGAAGTCGAACTCTACGCAGTGCTTGTGGCGTTCATGTTATGGGCGGATGTGTTGAGGGACACCTTCAGCACCTTCTACTTAGATAACGAGGCTGCGCAATCCGCTTTGATTGCTGGCCGCTCTGGGACTCGGAACGGACGACGGCTTTTACAACCAGTCTTATCGCTGGAACATGACAACCTGGCTAGGCCGTGGTTTGGCCGTGTGCCTACCCACTCGAACCCGGCGGACCCGCCTAGCCGACAGATCGTGGACCATTTGATCAGACAAGGTGCAAGGCAGGACAGCGTCGACTTGGGCAGTTTGCTGCTCGACACTTTTCTGGATGCGAGCTGAAGTGCACTTCGATGGGGGAAGTTCGGGTGCACTTGAAACTTGTGCGTTGAAGGAGTCGTGGCCCTTGGCCGAGCTTTGGAAGCTTGACCTTGGGACACACGTCTGATTCGACATTCGACTTTCCCCATTGCACTTCGAGCTTATCCGATAAAAAAGAAGGAGGGGTCCGAGTGAATGCATCACAGTCTCACATGTCTGATTGAATATTCCATATGAAATACATTTGATTGACTTTCCCAAATAACGACGAATTTGTTCATGCGTTTGTGGACTTGGAAATAATTACTTGTTATTTCTTGGCGGCTTTTACGTCGCGAAAAGTTGTTTTGTCACCGGTTGCTGGTGCAAAACGAGTTGATAGATTTTGGACATGGAGTAGTTCCAGACTCTCCTTCAGGTTCGTTGCTGCGGCCGAATATGACTGTCCGAAATTGAAGCTTTACTGTACCTGCATGACCTTTTGTTACGTATGTTGCAACCGTACTGCATTTGGCCGAAGCAAATAGTTACAGAGTTTTGAGACCGCCAATTTGCTGAAGCAGGCCAGGCGTGGTTCCCTTGTGAACAATTGCTACAGCAGCAGATTATTTGCGAGTGCACGCGCTGTCAGGATGGCGGGCAATGCCATGGAAGATTTGCTGGGGCATGGATCTCAGCGTAAAGCCACGACACCATCAAACTGGTGAACCGATCTCGGCCATGCGATTGGTGAGGCCACCAAGCACTGGGCAACAGTACAGCAATCAGAGACTTCGCTGCAATCCATAGTGCATAAGGACATCTCGTCCTCCATGATGTTACGATTTTCACAACACGGGAGGCAGTACATACCCGGGACGGAGTACTACACTCCGCCTTCAGCACCAGATCCAGGTGCAGGGCAAAGCTTCCACGTACTCTTGGCGCAATGTTTGCAGCAGGCAAGACAGTGGATCTTTCTGGCCACAGCGCTGCGAGCTATTCGACTCCCCAGCCGCTCACTTATGGCTTTTGGTGTCGGTGTAAGGTGCCTGATGCTGGATATCATTAGACCAATGTGTCTTGATCAAACTGTCCGGCAGGAGTCGTCGTCGTCCTCGTGGAAGCGGGCACTTCCCCGACCGTTATGTTTCTAGTCGTTGCCGTCGTGGTGCTTCCCGACGTTACTGTGACTGTGACATGCGTAACTTTTGTTGACGTTGCCATCGTCGAAAGCACCGCAGCTTTCAGAATCTTCGCGTCTGTCGTCGACGTTGTTTATTTTGGCCCATGGTGCTGCTGGATAAACTGGCTGCATCTTGCTTTGCATTCTGCGCTCTTTGAAGTGACATGTCGAGGCCGGGTCCTAGCTTTCGGCCTCCTAGTGGTCCAAGCAGCAGGTGCTTTCCTTTGCCGCCAGCTGTGTTTGAACGCTCCTTCTGTCGTTGTTCAGCGTCACAGAGACTTTGCACTCTGCGCAGCAGCAGCACCGGCTTCGGATCGCGAGATCGAGGGCCTTCCAGCTTGGAAGGAGGCTGTGCTGTCGTGGTGGCTACCGTAGGCCATGTTACTTTGTGTGGCCTGGCATTCAGGGGGCGGGCCGACGCCCGGTCCTTGGAGACTGTCCGACGACATTGCTCAGCCGCATTTTGCATTTATCTTTGAGGCTGTCATTGTCCAGCTTGAACCCACAAGCTATCATGCAGCAGCTGACATCGCGACCATTAACGGAAGTGGCGCGACCGCTCAGATGCCGCAGTGAAGTCCATGTTGCCCAGGTTTGGCGCGCATTATTCAGTCTCAGGTAACGGAGCAGGGGCGCAACCTGATGCAAATTCCGCGCTACATGGCGAGAGCGTGCGCTGTAGTTCGATGACTGGGATAAGAGCTTGCCGAAGTAGTTCAAGCTTGCGGCTCGCCTCCGCGGCGGTCGGCCGGTTCACAGAACGATCATGCATTCGCTCGCATCTGTCGAGCGGCGTGAGGTACACAGCCGCAGCTCGCCGATATCTGCGGCCTTGGAATGAGTGACGGCCTGAGACCTCCTGTGTCCAGCAACAGCAGCTTTTGAGTCTCGTTAAAACCCCTTGTCTCTGAAGGTTCGCCCGTCTCAATCCGACCAGAATCGTCGAGGTGGGTCTGCGAATCCGCCGTCACTGCGGATCTTGAGTGCCTAGACAGTTTCGCAGGGTGTGCGGCAAGCCTCTCGCCGTGGTGAGATTCAAATATACTTCCAGCGGAATGCTGCACGCTTGGCCGTGTGGCATGTCCATGAGCGCCCTGCTCTACGCATGTGCAAATCGCTGCAGGTGATTGCAAACGCACGACACTTCTGTTATGGCCTTTGCTGTGGTTCCTTGTGCACATGATGCATGTCCTGGACGATTGTCTGCATCGGCCCACATCCCATAGGCCCGAACTATGCCTTCATCTTTCTGGCGATGCTGTTTATGGTACGCTGCCATGGTTCATGGAAGTTCTCTCATAGCTTTGTCTTAAGTCTGCGGTCTCTGCCAGTTCGTTTGCACATCGCCAATGCTGCTAATGATGTCCGGGCCTGATATCTGACATCCACGCCGCCTTTAAAAAACGTGCAAGTCTCGACACCGGCGGCGGCAAGGAGAGCACAAGAAGATGGAATATCCAAACATCGTGAATGTAAGCGCCTGAGGCTTGCTGGAGTTGGTGGTGGCTGGTCCCATGCCATGCGTAGCGAACAGTGTAATCCTCAGCGCCGGCAGTCGTTCCGGGAAGCAGCGGATTGTTGAGTTGTGCTGTGGTCGTGAGCTTATCTTTCAGGTTCAGAAATCGTCCATGGACGCTGGCGATAGGTGGATCTTCTGTCTGTCAGCATTCCAACTGGAAAAAATCGCCTCGCGATTTTGCGAGGCTTCACTGTCACGGGCATGTACTGTTGGGGATGAGTATACCCGTGCATGTTCCACAGCTGCTACTTTCTGGTTGGGATGGGGTGATCAGGAGGTGAAGTCCGTGGCCTGTCGCCGTTTTTCAACGCGAATGAATGGAGTTCTGTGGGTGTTAACTCTGGCTGGGTCACTGCGTCGTGCGCTGAAATTAGAGTCACGTCCAGCTGATCCGTTGGGGGCCAGGTTTCACTGTGTTTCTCTTCCAGCGAAAGGGCTAAAGCTGAAGGAAGCATCCTGTGCAGTCGCTGTGCGACTCCTGGTCCCGCTTGTGCAGGTGGTGTCCAGGTGCCACTTGGATCCAACATGAAAATGGTGGGAGTCTCAAGTTGACTGTTGGCCCGGAGACTGTCAAACGAATTGTTGCATTCAGTTGATCATGGCCTTGCCAACACTTCTCTTCCTGCACCTCTTCATGGGCCTGCGCCTTAGATCTGATCTGGATGGAAGATCGCCTCTGCCTGTTGCAGTCAGGTCCAGTCCTGTGGTCCGCAGCATTGTGCAGTGGTGGTGTGAGCCTGGCATGTTGCACGTTTCTGCAAGAAGCTGATTGAATTGAACCTTGGCCTCACTATTTGAAGCATCTTTTTGCACCGGCTCGCACTCTCACATGTCTTCCTCCGCCTCAAGCTCTGCGCTCCTCTGTGCTCCAGGTGAGCCTGGCACATGCGGCCTTGCGGGACCGCCATGCTCTGAGGGCTTTCGAAGCCACTGAACCTTGACCGCAAATGTTTTTGTTCACAGCAACCAGCCTCACAGGTGACGACGTGGATAAGCTGGATGATGCTGATGACAGGGACGGAGACTCGTCCTGGCACTGGTCTTAGACTGGCCCTGGCTGGTGTTTAGCTCTCGCAGCACAGCCAGCTCGCATGCTGTGCTGCGTTATGGACTTACTTACCAGCACAGGAACACCTGAAAAGTGCTCCGCCCCCATGCAGCGCTTTGTCGCAACATTTGCCCACCGACGGTGTTGTTGTAAAGCGCTGGGAAGCATCATCCCAATCGTTCGAGTCATTTAGTCAAGGAGAACAGAACGGACAGGGGTATTCAGCTTCTCATCGACGTCGGCGTGCTTTAGGGCCCGGGGCTGTCCAATTCGTTTTGGATGCGAAGTTTTCGCATCCGTGAGGATTGTGGGGTTGGAATGAAAAAGGTGGGGGAGCCCTTTTGACCGACCCAGCGTACAACGATCCGTAGCAAAGAGTTGTGAACTGCTTGCGCAGCTTGGCACATGATGCTAACGATGGGTCAGGTCCAAAGGACGCGTCCGTGAGCTACCCTGAAGCGACCACCTCGGCAGTGCAGCAAAAGAGGGTGCTGTTCGATTGTGGTTGATTCCGACCGAGGTTTGGCGAATCGCATCGTATCTGACTTGCATGAACATGGAGAGCGCATCCGAGCGCCCTGCGCGGCTGCGTAATCGTAGGCTGCCCGGAGCTGTAATACAGCTTCATTTGGCGCTGGTATTCGTGCGGTTTTGAAAGCCAAACGGTTGGCACGGGTTGTTGACTGCTGACACTGTTCTTCATCAGTTAAATAATTTGAGGCTGGACAAGGTGAATGCACAGCGCCCCATGCGCTCAAGTATAGGATTTTCCGTTGCAGTGCTTGCAGCTTAGCATGACTTACGCGGCATCTCTTCTTGCTGGCGCATTTGTGGAGCGTCTGCTCTTTAATGCAGATCTTCACTTTCTCCGTGCAGTGGAGGTCCCAGCCCTTCAGCCCTAGGTCAAAGCCAGTCTGCGCCTGTGGATGTCAGACTTCTGTTTGCCATCTTTCAAGGATGTGTCGAAGTCACAGGCAGAGGCTGTGCGCCTTCTGGGCAGAAGATCCAAAAACAGGAGCAGCAGCGGCCCATCGAGCAACCAAAATCTGCGCAAGTGGCGGTCTTCACAATCCAGGTGATGCAGTAACCACGGGTTGATGGAAGCTCCTTTTGAAAGCCAAGTGGCTGGACCAGCTTAGATAGTCATGTTCTATACGTGCCGCCTGTCTCACAAACACGACTCGACAAGCACAACCCACAATGACACCGCTAGATCGAATGACAGTGCCTGTGGCGGATATTGCAAACTCACTGCTGCTTTAACATAGGTCGGCAGTGTGAGTCCCCAGTCGGTTGCGATGGATGCCGAGCAAGCAGCTCAAGCTCAAATCCGGCACAGGAGGCTCTTGGTTTTGCAATGTGCGATTGGTGGCTCTGTTCTCCCCGCCAAGAGCTTGTGCTGTCCCTTCAGGCTTTTGGGTCCTCTGGAGACTTGTCTGCGCTTTACCGCTGCAGGTAATGTCCTTCTTGTTGCTCCTGAATCCTGGCTGCCACGATTGTTTCCCATGAGGCACTCGCTGCTGTGGCCCTGAAGATCCTTGGCCAAGGCCGGCCGGGTCTGCACGCGAGTTTCTCGGGCTCGAACGCCTTTCGAGGTGCTTCTCCCGGCTTTTGCGCGCCAGCGCATCGGACAAGCGGGCAGTGCGTGACTCAGCTGCGAACTGCAACACGCAAAGACGAAGCTGGCTTCCATGTCAGGACTCTTGCCCGGAGTGCCCTGGCCTCGCGGGAAGTCTTTGCCGAGGACGCCTGGCTGCACGAAGCTGTCTTCCACACGTTCTCTGGTTCATGTTCTGAGACCGAGGAGAGGAGCGATTACGGAGAGGATTCGGAGGCTGAGCCGGAGGCGGAGGATGACCTCGGAGTCCCAAAGCTTACGAGGCCAAAAGGCGATGCTTGGGGCGTGAACTCGTTGCGCAGTCGCTGAGCCTGATTGCAGGTCCGCCTTCAAGCTGGAGACCGCCAGACAAGATGCAGACAAGCTCGACATTGACGCAGCTCCTAGGCTTCAGGCGGACCCTACGTTCTGGGATGAGCAGCTTTCGTAAAGGAAGTGGTGCCGTCAGCTTTGCAAGTGCATGCTATCTACAATCGACTTTTTGCTTCGGCTGTCATCTTCAACCGACCATGCGCGGCGCAAACCCTCACCCAACTCATGGGAAACACCACTTGGTTTTGCTCCTACGATTTGAAATGCCGTTGACATTTGTTTCTGCAAATCAGGTTAGTGCTATGGTACAAGGCGAGCTGAGCAATGCTGGCTTCAAGGCATCCAGTCCGCATGAAGAGACAAGGACTCCCATCGAGCCTCATGTGGGGACCTGCAAAAGCTTTACCTTCATTGACTTTGTGGTAGAAGAGAGTCTGCATGCTCGGGAGCCTCGGCAGGTGCAGATGCATGACGGTCAGCCGTCGATGGCTCCTCGGCTTCTTTTCTGCCAAGTGTCGGCAGTTTCCAACAGCACAACATGGAGTACGTTGCAGTACGTGGCATCCTCAATACTTTTGTTCATGGGAAAGGAAGTTGTGGAACAACGATTCGGTAACGAGGAAGAGACCATATCATGTGTATTGTAAGCTGGACGAACTCAACCAGGATCGTGAACCACAGACTTGCTTGGCGACCAAGCCAGCAGGAATCCTCAAAGCAGCGATTGTCTGGTAGACTCTTGACAGCATGCTCGCAGTCCCACCACAAATGGGGGCTGAAGCCCAGAATGTAGCCAAGATCGAGGGAACATTAGCATACAGTGCATGGAGCTTCCGCAAGCTTTCAGGATCTGATTGGAGCTGGTGATGCAGAAGTCCTCCGGGCGGCGGCCGCAGCTTTGCGACAGACACTTGGCGAGTACTGCCTTCTGGGTCTGAGCTGAGCGCTTCTGACTTTTCCCGAAAGCATCGCGAAGGGTTCTTCCGTGCGAAGCCCTTGAGAGAAGTACATAGAGTGAAGTACATCGAGTGAAGTGCATAGTACATAGAGTGAAGTACATAGAGTGAAGTGCATCGAGTGAAGTGCATAGTGCATAGAGTGAAGTGCATTGTGCATAGAGTGAAGTGTATAGTACATAGAGTGAACTACATCGAGTCAAGTGCATGGTCACCAGATGACTCTATGACGCTATCTCACGCTGAGACTATGACTGTGTTACTCTATGACTCTCTATTACTCTATGACTATGACTTATGACTCTATGACACTATGACTCTGTGACTCTATGACTCTGTGCTTTTGACTCTATCCGACTTATCTACATCTCGGTATATAATCTCTGTTTTTAAAGCCAGGGTGGCACCATCGTCATCGATCGGGAATGCAAGCCTTCACAGGGATTGGCCCGGTCGAGTGTCCAAACGTGTGGGAAAGTGACAACTCTTAGGCGCCACGCGCAACCCTTCACAGGGATTGGCGTGGTCGAGTTCCCAAACGTGTGGGAAAGCTACAACTTGCTTGGTCCACTCGCAACCTTTCACAGGGATTGGCGCGGTCGAGTGTTGAAACGTGTGGGAAAGTTACTACTTTTCGGCGCTCTTAGGCGTCATTCGCAACCTTTCACAGGGATTCGTGTGGTCGAGCGCCCAAACGTGTGGGAAAGTTACAACTTGCCTGGTCCACTCGCAACCTTTCACAGGGATTAGCGGCGTCGAGTGTTGAAACGTGTGGGAAAGTTATTACTTTTCGGCGCTCTTAGGCGTCATTCGCAACCTTTGCTAGGGATTCGTGTGGTCGAGTCGAACGTGTGGGAAACTTACTATTTTTGCGGTGCATTGCGGTGCTCGGGAGAGAAGTACATTCAAGTGCATAGTACATAGAGAGAGTGAAGTACATCGAGTTACGTGCATAGTACATAAACTGAAGTACATAGAGTCAAGTGCGTAGTACATAGAGTGAAGTGCATCGAGTTGCGTGCATAGTACATAGAGTGAATGAAGTACATCGAGTTACGTGCATAGTACATAGAGTGAAGTACATAGAGTCAAGTGCATAGACCACAGAGTGAAGATGTACCTGACTCTATGACTCTATGTACCTGTGTACCTGAATTATGTACTTGACTCTATGCACTGGACTTGACTAGACTAGGGCTTAGGGTTTAGGGCTTAGGGCTGAGGGTTTAAGGCTGAGGGCTTAGGGTTATTGCTTAAGGGTTTAGGGCTTAAGGTTGTGCATCGAGTTACGTGCATAGTACATAGAGTGACAGTGAAGTGCATAGATTCAGGTGCATAGTACATAGAGTGAAGTGCATCGAGTTACGTGCATAGCACAGAGTGTGCATAGTCCACAGAGTGAAGATGTACTTGACTCTATGACTCTATGTACTTGTGTACCTGACCTATGTACTTGACTTTATGCACTGGACTGGATTAGACCAATATGAGTCGATGTACATGTATACTTGACTCTATGACTCTTTAGGGTTCAGGGTTTAGGGCTGAGGGTTTAAGGCTTAGGGTTTAGGGTTTACTGCGTAAGGGTTTAGGGCTGAAGGTTTAGGGTTTCTAGGCATTGGTTCACCAATAGTAAACCAATAAATCTCGAGATTTTCGTTTGTTTCAATCATCCAAGAAAACTTGAGGTTTGGGGACTCTTGAACCGGAAATTTGACCTCCCAAAAGAGACACCTCCAGTACTAAAGTTTGTCTAAAAAAAAATTCGCCTTGGGGTGCTCGGGAGAGAAGTGCATAGAGTGAAGTACATAGAGTCAAGTGCATAGTCCGCAGAGTGAAGATGTACTTGACTCTACGACTCTATGTACCTGTGCACCTGACTTATGTACTTGACTCTATGCACTGGACTGGACTAGACTAGTATGACTCTAGGTACATGTATACTTGATTCTATGACTCTTTATGGTTTAGGGTTTAGGGCTGAGGGTTTAAGGCTTAGGGTTTAGGGTTTATTGCGTAAGGATTTAGGGCTTAAGGTTTAGGGTTTCTCTGCATTGGTTCACCAATAGTAAACCAATAAACCTCGAGATTTTCGCTTGTTTCAATCACCAAGAAAACTTGAGGTTTGGGGACCCTTGAACCGGAAACTTGACCTCAGCCCAAAAGAGACAACTCCAGTACTAAAGTTTGTATACAAAAATCGATTTTGGATCCAACCTGGGGGACTCTATGCATCTATGCATTGGGCTGTTTGACTCTATGTACTTGACTCTATGCGCTGGACTATGCACTTGACTCTATGCACTTCACTGCATGCAGTTGGCTTCATGTACCTGGGTTCATGCACTGATTCGAGAGCTCTGACAACATGGAGTGAAGTACGCAGAGTGAAGTACATAGTGTGAAGTACATAAAGTCAAGTACATCGATCTCGGCATTGTTATGTACTTGATGACTATATGCACTTCACTCTCTGACTCTATGATTCTATGCACTGGATTCTATGACGTAGCGCAAAACTCTTCGCTAATGATGCTTTCGAGCCAATTGTCTTCTGGTTTGCTTGGAAGGATGTTGAGCAAGCCTTGTGTCTGCATCGCAGCTGATGCCGTCTTGAACGCAGGCACGCCTTGCGACGGGAGCCTCCGACTGAGGCGTGAATGCCGGAAACGTGCAACAAATGCCGGCTCTCTTGCTATGTTGAGTGCTTGAGGGTGCATGCAACGCCGTTAGTAGACTTCAAGCAGTGTTTTGCAGTCAGCTCCATACACAGTCGATTGTCTGCTTCGGGTCTGTGTCGCGACAACAATATTGTAGTAGAAATCTTTTGAAGAGCACGGAACTGAAGAGGAGAGATATGAAGCGTGAGGTTGAGAAGTGCACTTTGTTTTTGAGACCCTGGAGCTGTACGGGCATTGGGAAGAATGCCTACAGACGAGCGCAGGATCTGATGGAGTCGCTGCAGGACTTGCTTGCTGAACAGCAGGTGGATCCTCTGGTCGTGTCATCACTGATGCCACTCGGCTGATGTGGTATGAATTCTGACAGATGTTGTTCAAAAATCCCTCCCTCGCCCACTCCCATCTTGTGCATCACACGAGTATGTCACACACAGTATATCGTGGAGTAGTCGCAGGCATGGGGCCGGCACGGGGATTCGCGCAAACACTCCTTGTTGGACGAAGACGTTTCGTCTCTAAGTTGATTTCGGCAGTCGCATCCGAGGTGGTCCTGTGGAAGGCTGGTGGCAGACACCCGTCCTCTCTTGCCGACCCTTCGAGATGTCGTCATCGAGGCGTAGCTGTACGACTTCGTGACTCAAAGTCGATCCCGAATCCCCAAGCTCCACACAGCAGGCTGCTCCAGGTATGAATGCGCAGAACTTGACCTCCTGCTGGTGTTCTGCAGCGAATCTGCAGCCCTATGCAGAGGAGGTCCGCGTTTGAGTTAGCGCGAAGTGTGGCAGTGACAAAGAAAGTGCATTTGCAGGTGGATGAGATGATTCCGGCCTTGCTCAATGCTGTTCTACCAAAGGCGAGTTTCTTCCTGTCAGAAACCTTCGGACTTTGCGGCAGTGACAAAGTCCAGGATCGTTTGATCTTGTTCCGACAGCTCCGGCAAATCTGACCGCTCGCTGTGCGAGGCTGCCGACTTGCAGCCAAGGCGACATGACTAAATCAGCGTTTGAAAGCGTCAGCTGTGTACCATGTACGTGTGTGACGCCGGTCAAAACTGTCTTTGGCCTTTGGATCTGCCGCCGTGCTAAGCCAGCTCGTGGCCTTCATCTGGGCATCTGGCAAGTGCTGTGCTCAGTCGGGCCATGGTCCCGTCGGGGCGATGTAGGCCCGAGCAAAACAGTCACAAGCGAAGCCCAATGCTCGAGTCAGGTTGGACCTTCGGCGGGATGAGGCCCGTGAAGGGACTGAAAGAGGGTGCATGCAGTAGTGATCAGCAGATCAGGAAGGCAACATGCTAATGACGATTTTGATGATGATGATGATGATGATGCCACTGCCGCTGCCCTTTTTGCCGCTGCTGTGTGATGCTGGTGATGATGTGAAGAACAAGAAGACTGAAGCATTGATCACTCTGATGGTCTTAGGATCTTAGAAGGCTGTGGCAAAAGCAGCGGCACCAGCGTTGCAGTAGCAGCAGCGGCGGCAGCATCAACAGCCGCTTCCATTCTTCAGCAGCAGAAACAGCAATGGCAGCGACTACAACGTCAAGGACGACAGCTATCAGGATATCCATTGCCAAGAGAAGAATGAGATGCTTTTGCAGATTGGAGGTGTGGTATCAGCAGCCTCGGTCAACGTCGTTCATGTTTCATGGTCATCACCGGTGCCACCACCTTGGTTACCATCGTCACCATCATCACCACCTTCATCATCGTCGCCATCATATCACCATCACGATCATCATCGTTGTCACCATCTTCATAGTTACCTTTCCCATCTTCATAACTACATATGTATATGTGTGCATATATATATATATGTATATTTGCCTTCCTCTACGTCTTCATCTTCATCTGCATGTCATCTTCACGACACTTAGATTCCGGCTGGGTCTTGCGGTTGCCAGGTCGCCCAGATCAGCGCCTTGCCGAAGCGCCTTCGAAGATTCGAACTAGAGATACTTCCTCTGAAGGACGCCGACCCAGCATGAAGAGTAACAGTTGCTCACTGTCCTCATGCATGTGGCATCGTGGAGGACATAGCCAACTTTGTTTTCGGCCTGTCGCAGCTGGACTTCAGGCCTTGTCAAGGGAGCAAGAGCGAGAGAGAGGGGCCTTGTGAACCTTCTGAGTGCAGTCTGCTGTGTCCGCTACACGTCAGGAGGATGGGAGAGATGCAACACACAGGGCGACCAGCCGTCTCATGATACCTTTTCAGGGACAGTTATTCTATCACTGCTGAAATCAGTGAAATCCATCTCGCGAAGCCCATGACTGAACAAAGCAGTTAGCAAGCCAAGCAAGTTCTGGCATACTTTATGGCTGCAGCTGCAGCTGATAAGCTTGCAATTGTTTTTTATGTTTGAATCTCCCCCAATAAATCCGAACAACGGGCGGGTCTTCGTTCCGGGGCCCTGACATGTCCCCCTCCTAATGCCGACCACAGTGGGTTGACCACTTCTCCTCGGCTGAGTGGAGGAAGAGACTCCGAACGGGAAAATTTTTCCCCACGTGCAAGGAGCACTGTTCTGAAAGTCGTACACCCCTGGTAGCTTTCTGGAGCCTTTGCTTTCACCTGCTCCCAAAAGCCCGTCAAATCGGGTCTGGGGTCCGGGGCCTGACAAGTCCTTCAAGCCCATGCACCACTTTGTATGCAGGGACATGGATGTGCTGGGCATGATTGCAAAGACGGCCACTGGGAGGGTGGCCAAGTCAAAGCGGAAGGAAGCGCACCAGGACTTGCCAATGACGCTCGTTCTGCAGGGTCGCTTGCCGTGTCCGCCCAGCCTGAGCCGAGTCAAATGCTTCGCCTAGGATTGTGATGTCGCTGACGCGCTTGGGCTATAAGGACGTTACCTTGTGCAAGAGTGCTAGTGCTGCTGGTGTCAGATCGTCACCATCCTCTTAAACTCTCCCTGGATCGACGAGAGGATGTGCAGATGAACCTGCTCCTTGACGCCGTTGCAGATCGGCTTCAGTACCTCAGAAAAAACACGAGCATCACTTGGACGGAGAGGAGATCTGAGATGCATTTTGAGTCTTCTGCACAAAGGAAGACGCGCATGTTGAAAAAGATGCCCGACTGGAGCCTGGCAGCGCTGTTCTGGGCCTGGCCACAAGATGGCTCGCTGGAGGGAGTCGCTTGTGCGCACTTCTCCCCCCCTTGCTTTCCAAGAGCTTCCCTTCCATTGCTAGGGCCAGGGCTGGGATTTCTGCACTGACTGTTCCTGGTATTCAAGCTTCACTTGTGTGTGCCGATCTTCGTGCAGAGACAATCAACTGCAGTCGTTGTGTGCCAAGGTCAGGAACATGCAGGAGCTTCTAGCGCCAGAGGCCGTTCCTGGAAGATTGCGTGATCATACTTGTGGCCGGCACGTAGTAGCGAGTGAGGGTGTGACACTGTGGTAAAGTTGTACCGCCGTGCTTCTGCCGATGTGGCGGCGTTGACAAAGGCACAGTAAAACCTTTGCGGTTTCGAACGATGTTTGTGCGCCTGGGGCATCGTGCAGCAGACGTGATGGGGAAAAGTTGTGGAGTACTTTCGGGAAGCTCAGATCAAAGATGCAGGTGCAGCAAAGGATGCAGAAGAGCAAGTTCACGAGTCGAATGTTGGAGAGGACCGCCCTAACCGCCCTAATGACTACTGAGCTGTTGCACATATTCGCGGCCCTCAGGAGTTGGATGGGTCCCGCTGAGTGGAGGAGAAAACCAGCCAAAGCATAGTATGGGACAAAAGGAGCGCACTCACAGGCTGAGCCGTAACTCCGGCCTCTTTTGAGTAGACTGAACATTGAAGGGTTTCCCAACTTTGATCTGTGCTTGTGGCTTGGGACTTGGTAGTGCGGTGGGCGGCCCTTCGCCTTGCGGTGCGCCGAGGAGGTTTGGCTGTGCCCCGAGCTGCATGCTTGAGCCCTAACCACAGCCTGAATAGGGTGTTCGGCATCCCAGGTGGAATGACGACACAAACAGAGGAGCAAAAGCAGCAGAGCCGGTCACGCACTCGGTCGGACTGGAGTTGAGATGTTTCCTACATCTTTCACTGCGTGCAGATGGGACTACCCAATTAACGACGCGACGAAAGGCGAGGTTCGAGCAAGGCCGGGCTTGGAAAGGCCACAGAAGCTATGACACCTTCGACCTTCGCTCATCTGAGGTACACTCCGCCTCCGGGAGTGCGAGCCTAAGAGGGCTCGAGCCCTTCCGGAGCGGTGGGCCCTTCCTCCAATTCATCACCAGGAAGTTGGACAACTTACACTCAATGTGGGCGACATTGTGTGGGTGGCAGCCTTGGAGTGGCAGCCTCTTGACTTTGTGCAACCGCGGTGATTTCTCAGGTCCTTGAAGAGGAGGACGGCTGGTGCGGTGGTCACAAGGCCACCGTCGCCGGCAGAATTTTATGAGCCGCTGGCGTGCAGACAGCTGCGCCAGGATGGTGACGACAATACTGGCTGGTTCCCAGCGTCGATTATCAACCGCATTCCTCGAGGCATGGTGTGAGAGGAGAGCCCGAAGTGGTGGCACCTTCTCGCAAAGTGCATGGCTACGAGGCGACTGCCAAGAGGATGACGAAGATGACAGGACAGTGCAAACTGCTGCGAACCCTTTGTTTGAAGTCTGTAGTATCTGCAGGAGAAATTCGCGGCCCGGACGCGATTGTGACTCATTGACATTCCTGCACCTTCAACCCAGCACAAAGTCCCTGTGAATCTATGCAACTACGGCTGAATCTGCCAGGGCCTTGTACACCAGTGATCACCGAGCAGTTGCTTCTCCACAGGCCATGTCTTGTCAATGCTCACCTGCCCGTGAGGGTACTGCTGGCGGCTTGTGTGCAGGCAAAGCACCGAAAGGTTTCGGCAGCCGACTCGGCAAACGAAGTTCTTGCTCGGTCCGTTTTCCATACTCGGTGTTCCCTTCAGGCTCAGCTTGAGCTTGCGGAGACCAAGCAACGCCTGGAAGCGGCCTCACCGGCAGGTTTCACAGTCCCTGCTATCACGGAGCAGGCGAAAAACAAACCACATCGCACTGCACCGGCATTTTCACCGATAAGCAGCGATGGTACTCCAGGGCAGAATGTTTTGAATGTGTCCATGCATATAGGCCCTAAACAGGCCCGGGCAATCCCTTGCGAACGGAGCAGCAGTGTGTTTGCTTATCGGTAAGTGTAGGGGCGGCCCAAGCTAGGCTACATATGTGAATTCAGGGCGGTTCGTTCGACCATGTTCTTGTCGAAATACAGATGCTAGTGGGACATCACTTTCAGGAAAGGGCTCTGTAGCTTCACGCTTGCTCATGCCTGCCGAAACTCTTAGTTGTCCTGCGTCATAGACTAGCGGCAGATGATGACGTCCGTGCTACGTTCTCGTCCTCGAGCAAGCTTGCTGGTTTCAGAGCTCACGTCATCGCAACCATGTTGCGAGGTCGTGATCTATGTAGATGTCCGAGGTACCATGGCCCGATATGCGCCCGACATGCACTGTCTCTGCCTCGTTCTCATCATTCCCATCCTGTTGACAAGCTCTGTTTGGAGCCGTCCTGTGGGCTTTTCTGCCGTTTCGTTGGGGGCCCAGCCTCAGCGCAGGGAGGGTTCTCGCGCGCGCCGCAAGCCGTCAGAAGATTTGACCGAGCTCGGGCGGCACAGCCACATCTCCCCGGCTTTGTTGGAGGCTGGCCGATCCATGGCACGGAGAGCCCTTCGCCTCAGACAGGGTGAGAAGCACTCACATGTTTACGTCATCAGAAGTTTCGGTCGTGCGAAAGCCTTCCGGGAAATGACGTGTGGCATCTTAGAAAGGCTGCTGCCCTGTCTCGGAGTGTGCTTGCTGGCCGTGGCAGCCGACGATCCAGAGTTGGAGACTTACCGACAGAATGCAGGACCATGGAAAGACCGGATGCTTGTTGGTGTTCGCGGAGCAGAGCGGCAAGTTGCCTTCATCGACCAGATAATGCCGAAGGGCCCTAGCCTCAGCTCTATTATGTCAGCATGGCTTGTATTCGCTCTCCTGGCATAGAGAAGCAAATGGGTTGATCTTTAGGTGCTCCAGTAATGGTGCTGGACGACAACATTCTCAAGTTCATGGATCGTGGTGGGACACTGACGAAGGGTTTGGACGATCTGGTGGGCCTGGGCTTCGATTGGATGCATCGCGCGGGTGCATCTGTTTGGTCTGTAGAGGCCTCAGCATCCTTGCTGGGGATCGTGCGCAGGTCTTGCGAAGCGAGTCACAGAACGAAAGAGCTTCAAATACACTAGTGTCATTAGAATCCAGCAACAAACCACGTGCCAGAGTGAGAAGTTCATCCAGCTTGAAAGTTGTTCCCGGACCTTCTAGCTGTCCCAAAACAGGCATAAATAGAGTTCCAACATCTGGCGCACGGTTTCTCGTAGCTGAGTATGCGAAGAGGGGATGACAAGGTCAGCGACTCACCCAATCCGGCGCACTGGAGTGACGAGGTAGACGTGGGCATTGGACTCGTGCCAGAGCCTCGCTCGGAGTGAGGTTGTGTGCCTGTCGCTTCGGGGAACTGCTCCCGAAGTATGGCCATGTAGTCCCGGTCCCCCAGGTACGGAGCTGCCTTTGGAATGGTGGCAAGCCATGAGGAATCCCGGTACTCACGGTTTGGTCAGGTGCTGGACGATGTGGAGCGGTCCTGCCGCTTCTATGAGCAAGATGGCGTGACCGTTCGCCTGGGCAGGCTCCAGGTGTACAAGAGGCGAGGGCTCGACCCCAAAGATTCCTAAAGGCAGACAGCTGTGGGAATGGTTGATATACCCGATTCGAGACGAATCTGCACGGATCGCATGAGCTCTCAGGCACGCGCCGGGCATCTTCCATGCAGAAAAGGGCGGCATCTCCGCCAGTCTCTCAGCAAAGGCTTTCGCACAGGAGGCAGACCGTGCCAAGTCCGCTTTACTTCGGCGCTTTCCGCAACTGCTGCCTGGCATAGAAAGTCTTTTTTCCGCACGCTTTTTTGCTGTCTGAGAAACCGCGCGCGTTTAGGTTTTCTCTCGTTTCTGGGAGACCAGGCTCGAGGCGACAGGCACCAAGCTCGGCTTGCGATTTCGGCGGGACGGGAACAGGAGCAGGGCTCCCTCCTTTATCCTCTGATCCCACTCGAATCTCGAAGTGCTTCAGAAGAATGTCTTTTGAGCACAACGAAGCACCGCCTGCGCTGCGTTGTGGCACCACGAGCTCCGAGCAGATCTGGCCACGACTTGGAACTGCGAGTCTCGGTACTCGGAACCTGGTGCCCGATTGAGAAGATCAGTGTGGCAGTGGCAGCAAGACTTGCTTGTGCACGTCGTCCACGACTGCGCCGACGCGCAAGAGAACCGACATCAGAGGACCATCATAGGCAGCACTTGCCGGCACTAGTGGGTCGCTTGGCGCGATGCCAAGAGAAAGGAGCCGTGTGTCTGCAACTGCAGCGAAAGGTTTTCCCAACGTGTCACGTGAGCAGCGACAGCCAGGCAGAATCCGAGCGTCGACGTTTGGAGGAGGTGGTCAAGGCAAAGCGGCTTCTCTTGTAGGCGCTAGCCGATTGGGATGCGGAGTAAAGGCATCATCTCTGCCAGGGACTGCAGAAAGAGAAAAATGACTGGGAGCACGAACGGCGGGGTATGGTGAAGAGATACGAGGAGCTCCAACATTCCAAGGCTCCAAGCCGAGATTATGTGCTTGAAAATTCACTGCTACATGAAGGGTGAGACCTGCTGGCATCCTCAGCGACAGGTTCAGTCAGCCCAGGAGGAGGCCAGGCGGAAGGAGGAGAGTTTCGATTCTTTATTTTGCGTCCATGAGTGTATGTCTGCTTGAATGGAGGAGGAGCTTCGGTCACAGAAAGAGATCAACAAAATCTTGGAGGTCTCATCACATGTGTGTTTATTCGGTGACCTCCCGACCGAGTAGTGAGAGACGCTTCTTGTTTTGTGGGAGCGCGGCAGGCAGATCTCCGGTCCGAGAAAGCAAGCGCGAATAGCTTGAAGGCGGGGACAAACGGCCCGCGTTGTATGGAAGCAAAGACAACAAGCGGCGCGTGTGACACCATGGTCCCGTTCAGGGCAAGCTCAAGGAGCTCGAGGAGCTGTTGTCAATCAACTTCGGATTCGGGTCGCGTTTGCAGTTGTGAGGGATCAAGGTTGAAGCGGTGAACTACTGTCCAGCCTTCAGTTCTGTTGTGGCTTTCAGGAGCACTGCAGAAAGCTTAAAGTGGAGGCATGCGAGTGACTTCTGGTGGCCGAAGTGGAGCTGTTCCTCGAGCAGTGGCAGGTCGATCATCTTAAGACTCGGCCAACAGTGCACATCTCGGCTGAGAAAGGGCAGAGGTGCATTGAGGCATGCACCGGCCTGCACGTGTCTTGAGGACGCTGCGAGCAGGGAGGACGCCATCGGCGGTAGCACCACAGGCGGAGAGCCCTAATGTCCCGTGACTTTTTCAACTGGATTCAGAAAACTTTCTGAGATCGGCCCATGCTTAGTCGCAGGCATCTCCCGCACATATGCTGGAGACAGTGGACACCGCACGCCGTCTGTTCCTCACACCGTCTCCGCCCTAGAGGTCTATGTAACAGCATTGCTTGGCAAACAGTGCATTGCAGTGTGCTTTACAGACCTGCTGGCGACCCTGAGGTTTCAGGCGTGCTCTCAGGGAGCTTGCAGGCCTCAATCATTCTCAATCCATAATTGCTGTCCGACCACGTGCTGGTATTGGCGCACCCCGCACCTCAAGAGTGGAGTGTTGCAAGGCGCCGCCCGCCCCTTGTGTTAGCATTGCGCCAACCTCTTCCATGACATCGGTTGGAGTTGGCCAGGCAGGCGTTTGCACTGTTTGCACTGTTGCCCTTGGACCATGGTGCGCGTGCCTGTCACACTCCTGTCACTGCAGGTCTCCGCCTCTCCGTTGTCGGCCAGGCGCAGGGCCGACTCCGTCCGTCCAGAGTCCAGCGTCGCCTTGAGTCGCCTGGAGCGCCGTCCAGGCAGCCGGCCGGGGCTGGGCTGGGAGCAAGACACGCGTGAAGAGCTTAGAGTTCAGGGTGAGGTGGGAGAAGCTGGGGTGCGACCTGCTTTTTTTTGTGCTCTGAGTTCGCCCCGCCACGCCTCCTGGATGTCAGTCGCTGAGCCTCTCTGCATCTCCGTTGTGATCTAGGGAGAAGTTTTACCGTTTGCATTCTGGAGGCCTCCCACGGGGCCAACTGTGCACGCTCCGTCATCGTGTGCAGCCCAGCCGAGACGGAGAGTCGACAGTCTCAGTCGCGTATCTGGTTTTCTAAGCTCCCCCTCCCTGACACTGCAGACCTCACCTTCGGCAGCGCATCCCGAGTCAGCGCGATGTGACATTGGACTCAGTTTCACACGCTGCTTGGCCATTGCAGATGCAGAAGACTAAAGCCCCCTCGAACTGGACTTGAGACGACAGAGTCCCAGTCCCATGCAGTCCCAGGCTCCGCCGGTTCGCAAGCTGGTCTCTGAGATCGAGAAGAGGAGCAACAGCCAGGGTGCTCCCACCACCAGGCCAGCTGAAAGCCAGCCGAAAGCCGGGACAACAGCCTCTGCCAAGCCGTCTTGGTCCCAGGGAAACAGCGCCCATCAATCGGCAGCTGGTTTTCCCGGCTGCGGCCAAGCGCTTACTCGAAGGGGATGCCGGCTGAGCCGAGCATCCAACATCTGGGAAAGATCCTATGGAGCTTTGGATGCTGCATGCGTTCGATTCGGAAGTCGGGGCCATGTCCAGAGTGACGCCGCAAGGGATACTTGTCCAGACATGTCGACATTTCTGAGACTTCAATCTATGTACAGATACAGCGCCTCGGCGCTGCTCGTGTCCCAACATGCCGAGAAGGTCGGTGTCTGTGCTCGTCCTTACGCCCGTTTGGCCGAGGCACCGAGTGTTTCCTCATGTTGTACAGTTCGACGGCCTATGGCCTCAGTCCCTGCTGCCTCCTCAGTTCCTCAGACACAGTTCGAACTTCGGCTTAGCTCATGGGACCTTTGCAACCGAGATTCTGACGACCGGCCATGTCTCCATGACATCAGCGGTTCGAGCCGGTTCACGCGAGGGCCAGCCCGTCCACGTCTCGGCTTCGCCTCATTCCTTCACTCTCCTCTCCTCTCTTGCGAACTGCATCGTAGCAGGTGGCTCGGACCATGCGAACGGTCACACAGAGCTCCTCACGCTCGGCCTTCCAGGCGAGCTCTTTCTGCTCTCTAAGCCACCTCTTCCTGTTCCAGAGACTGACACGGCAGCGAGGTGGAACCGGAGCCCGAGTCCTGCCGTCACGTTTGTGCCGATCTTCGTTTCAAGCCGGTTGGAGCCTTTCCGCAACGTGCAGGACACCAAACGCATCTCCGAACGTGACGCACATGGAGGCATGGCCACAGAAGGTTCTTTGGAGTTGAAAAGCAGATGGCCATGAGTTGCCGGCAGGACCCGTCTCGAAACTTCGGCATGTCTCCGATCAAGCGCCCGGCACCTGCAACTGGCACTGCAACGGAAGCGTGGTCTAGAAGCTTTCCGAGGTCAAGCTTACACGATCACTCGTGGAGGACTGGCAGGGTTCATTTTTTGACTGTAAGGGGGCTTGCCTGTGGGCAACTGCAGATTTGACGGCATGCGCTTTTTTCACAGGAGTGACAGGGCACCCGATGACGCACTCACCTCCATCGCGGCCAATCTCTGTACAGGACGCCCCAAACCCTAAACCCCAAGGAGTCGTGTCAATCTCCCTGCTCGAGGACAGGATCCGACAATTGAATGCAAGCCGTTATCGTTGAGCGCGCTGCTCAGCCCCAAGCCCAAGGCCCAAAGTAGGGGGCCTGTTAAGAGGTTGTGCAGCACGGGTGCCTCCCAGGCGAAGAGCTCCACGAGCTCTTCCTTATCAACGCTGAACTTTAGAGCCCATGGGCAAGGCCAAAGGCTGTCAGAGGCCCGCCATGCCCACGCTTCGCAGACTGCTTCGCAGTTTCGCTCAAATGAGATCAACTACGTAATTCAGAGCAGTTATTTCAGTTTTTTCTGTGCCGTGACTGCCGAGCTCAAACCCGTGAATGGACTGGTCAGTCATTGACCTATGTTAGAACGTATCAAGATGCTCGGCAGACATGGCCTAATTCACAAGCATTCAACAGCACTCTGCCGGACCGGATGGCCAGCCCGGTCCGCCGGCAAAGGCTATCGAATGGCCAGCTAAAGCCCAAAGCCCCCACGAACAGCAAGTGAAGCCGTGAAGCCAAGTCCAGGTGATGCCGGATACCCCGCTTGTGTCTCAGAGCCCTGGCCCCCCGAGGCCTCACAGGCCGTTTCACACTTGGACGCAAGCATAGTCAAGCCAGAAAAATCGCGTGAAAGTCAAAGTGAGTGTCTGCATCCACAGCTTCATCTAGTTGCGATCGGCCGCACTTGTGTCATGCTGCAGTGTGCCAGAATGAAGACCCAGAGCCCAACACGTCCAAGTTGCTGTGCAATAGAGCAGCCAGCAGCTCCAACTGACCATGCAAGACATCCAGCGAGCCTTGACCCACCCCACAGGGAAAGCTAGCTGCTAGCTGCTAGCAGCTAATCCCATTTTCAAGATCTGTTAAACCCCAAGCAGTCTTATTTAGTACTCGAGATCCAAATGATGCGGCGATTGAATGGTCAGTTTCCATCAGCGGCGCCACGCCTGCCCACTGGGCGCAGGTCAACAGTGGCAGTTTCCTGCCAGAGCAGACCGCCGTCCAACAGCTACCACAACTTCAGCACTTCAAAGACGCCTGAGCCAGCCCGCTGCGTGCTGACTGCAGCTTGCTTGGCAGCTTATTGCCGCAGCCGGCGCTTCTCCACCTTGCGCGCAACGCAGAGTCCGGTTACCAAGCCTGTGCGGCTGGAAGACGTGTCTGCCTCCGATGCTCCGGTCGTCGGCTTCTATGAAACCATTCGGTCTGCCGATGTGCCGCCAATGACTTTTTCCACAGTCAAATCTTTGGGCACGCCAAGCGGGCCAGAGATCGGTGAAGAAGTTTGGGTGCGCGCTCGCGTAGCGACGGTCCGCGTGAAGGGGAAGTCGACGTTTGTGGTTCTGAGGCAAAGCAGCCTCCACACAATTCAGGCCTGTAAGTTCAAGGACGCGGAGGATGGAGGCGAAAGTGCTACAGCTGTGGCAAAGTTCTTCAAGTCCCTTCCGCTGGACCGGAAGTGACCACAACATGCAACAGCCACAGGAAGTTTATGCACTCTCGACCAAACTTGCTGTTGCAGTGCAGGAAAGCCTTGTCGACCTTCGTGGAGTTATTGCCGAGGCCTTTTCCCTCTGCATCAAGCCTCCCTTCTGGACGGCCACAACGCCTCTACACGACACTGTGTCTTGAGCTGTTTCGTGGCAGGCCAATGTCTCGAGCTGCACTCAAAGCAATGTGGAGCTCCAGATCAAGCAGGTTTTCTGTGTCAGCCAAGCGGTGCCGCCCGGGCCTCATTGGCTCCACACTTTTGGGGAGAAGTGGATTGTCTTGCTGTGAAGGCAGCTACCCTTTCTGATCGCAGATGCACAGCGCAGTGAGGTCTCTCGGCAATCGCGGACTGTGCTGTCCGGCTCGATTCAGCTTCCTTGTTTCCAGCAGGCGGAGATCGAAGCATCGCAGGGCAGCAAGCGGCCTTTCGTCGGAGCCTTGGCTGTGCCATTTGCCAGGCATTCGCCAAGGAGGGAGTTGCAAAAGCAAGGGCTTTGCAGCATGGAAAAAAAGAGAGTGGTACTGAGTGACAAACACGTTATAAAGCTGGGCGGCTCGTGCACAGAAGGAGGAGGATCAATGGGTGGGAGTGGAGCCACAGCCCGCAGGCTGACAAACCCCAAGCCCCAAAATATCCGGAGTCCAACGACGGGAGAAGCAAAGCGCCAACGAACTTAGGAACTGCGGAGTTTGTTGCAGGTGCGTGTGCTGCCGGACCTTCGCCTCGATCACCGCTGGCTGGACCTACGTGCCGAAGCCTCGCAGCCCGTCTCATGGAAACCAAGGCTTGGCTTTCTGAGCCCTTGCCTTATCAGGTGCCGGCGCACAACGCCACTCTTCGCATTCAGGCGTGTGCTCGTGTGGACCAGTGTGGTGTGGTGCTGCCAGAGCTTCGGATCGGTGCCAGTCTGCGATCTGTCGCCTCTTCCGCGACAGTCTGACGAAGCGCGGCTTCGTGGAGCCGCAGCCCCGACACTGTCCAAGCATTGGCTGGAAAAGTTGATGAATGCAAGGATCCACTCCCCGAAGCTCATTGCTGGGGAGAGCGAGGGCGGTGCAGAGGTGACGAGAACATGGAAGAGATATCGGAGTGATACGAGGACTTCATGGCCTCTGGCAGGTTTTCCGCGTGGATTACTTCGGGTCCAAGGCGTCGCTGGCGCAGCCCGGTCCTCAAAGACCGGAAGGAGTCAGCTGTGGAGTCGCGACCCACGCCGAGAAGGTCCCCGCAGCTCTACAAGCAGATGGCCATCTCAGCAGACATGCCGGGCGCATTTGAGGCCTCCATGAGTAGATCACCGAGAGCTTGAGACAGTCTGCGGCTGGCAGATTGGTCCCGTGTTCCGTGCGGAGAACTCCAACACTCCGCGGCACCTGTGCGAGTTCACCGGCACGGGCCTCGCGAAGTCTCAAGAGGTGCCTTCGGAAAGGATGGCGTCTGCCGGAGGCCTGGACTTCGAGATGCCCATCATGTGGCACTACGACGAAGTGATTCAGGCCAAGTCAAGCGAGTCAAGCGAACGAAGTGTGGGGAGAGAGTGCAGTCAGTATCTGGTCCGGTCTCTTCTGCTGGTGCTTCGAGGTGATTCACGAGACCTTATCTTGCGCTTTCAAGGCCCTGGAGGAGGAAGATGAGCGCGAGCCGCGTCGTCTGTCCGCTAATTGCCTCCGAAAACCCATGTGCAGGAGTGCGCTGAGGAGCTGAAAGTGGTGAGGCAAATGTATCCATCGGAGGCTGGATCCGCAGAGACTCTGCCACTTCGCTGCGATTTCGCAGCAGTTTGGAGGCCCCGAAGATGCCATCTCCAGCTGGGCCGCCCTGCATTCTGCACTGCACCCAGGTGAGGGGCCCTCGGGCCCTCCATCGCTGTGAGAAGCGCCAGCTGAGGCACTGGGGCGAAGCCATGGAGATGCTCCAAGAATCAGCTGCTTCGAGTGGATCACCTGGGAGAACGGACCGACTTCCTTGCCGAATCGGCATTAGCGAAACGGGTTTTCTGCGCACAAATCTCCATCGCTTCACAGGGTACTTGTAGTATTCATTAGTATGCCACCCCATGGTCCAGGATGCCCCGCCACATAATTTTTGCGGTGTAGGGTTCCTCCTCCCCCTGTGGGATGGTTGTTGAGTTTTGGGGTTTAGGGTTTAGCTGCTGAAAGCTTTTGAGTTTAGAGTTTAGGGTGCAAAGGTCTATAAGACTTCGAGTCGACAAGGGCTTAGGTAGGTTCGGCGTAGGGTTGACGGTTTATGTTGCTCTTCAGGCTGAGCGCGTGCCCAGGCGGGGTTTAGGGAGGGGAGTAGGGTTTAAAGTACAGGTTAAAGGTGAACAAACACAGGACCACATACTACGATGTCGGGTTTATGGCCTGCGTAGGGCCTGCGTAAGATCCCGGCCCTTTCTTTGCCCCTGGCCGCCACCACAGCAGCACCCCACATTCCACCTGCAGCTCCAACGGCCCCAATCCCCCTTGCGACCATACCATTGGGGGGAACGCCAGACGCCTGACCATATACGGTCGGCGCGAATGCCCATTAAACCAACTAGCTGTCCTGCCAGTCTTTGTGGCTTCGCTTAATGTTCTTGCAGCAGTCAACGCATTGTGGTAGCCTGCCATGAACTGGCCAGCTCTTGGTCTTGATGCGAGAGACCCCGGCACTGGCACAAGAGAAAGCTAGCTCCTGTGCTGCTCGTCTTCCTGCACGGGCTGTGTGCACCGATTCTCGAGCCTCGACGCGGTCATACGATAAGGGACATCTCCGGACAAAGTCAGAGCACGCACTAGTTCGGATCTGTGCTGTCGCTGGTGCAGGGTCCGTGGTTAGGCGTGCTAGAAGATGTACCTTTCGCTTGCGACCCGCACGATGCGCCTTCTCAAGCCTCCTTGCGGTACTACGATGAGGGACATCTCGGCACAAAGTCAGAGCACGCACTAGTTCGGATCTGTGCTGTCGCTGGTGCAGGGTCCGTGGTTAGGCGTGCTAGAAGATGTACCTTTCGCTTGCGACCCGCACGATGCGCCTTCTCACTCCTCCTTGCGGTACTACGATGTGGGACATCTCCGCCACAAAGTCAGAGCACGCACTAGTTCGGATCTGTGCTGTCGCTGGTGCAGGGTCCGTGGTTAGGCGTGCTAGAAGATGTACCTGTCGCTTGCGACCCGCACGATGCGCCTTCTCAAGCTTCCGTGCGGTACTACGATGAGGGACATCTCGACACAACGTCAGAGCACGCACTAGTTCGGATCTGTGCTGTCGCTGGTGCAGGGTCCGTGGTTAGGCGTGCTAGAAGATGTACCTGTCGCTTGCGACCCGCACGATGCGCCTTCTCAAGCCTCCTTGCGGTACTACGATGAGGGACATCTCGACACAACGTCAGAGCACGCACTAGTTCGGATCTGTGCTGTCGCTGGTGCAGGGTCCGTGGTTAGGCGTGCTAGAAGATGTACCTGTCGCTTGCGACCCGCACGATGCGCCTTCACAAGCCTCCGTGCGGTACTACGATGAGAGACATCTCCGCACAAAGTCAGAGCACGCACTAGTTCGGATCTGTGCTGTCGCTGGTGCAGGGTCCGTGGTTAGGCGTGCTAGAAGATGTACCTTTCGCTTGCGACCCGCACGATGCGCCTTCTCAAGCCTCCTTGCGGTACTACGATGAGGGACAGTCACAGGGCATCAGACAATCCTTGTTTTGTTCGGGATCCAGAATTGTGCAAGTGCAGCTGCACATCCCTTCGTTTTGAAGCCGCGTGTCAGGGTTCGAATCTGTATGTTCGTGTGCAGGTTCTGTGGTTGTGCACGCCATACATGCACATTCTTGCGCAATCTGTGGACCACCAGCACGGGCGATTAAGTCTGTGCTGCAGTACCAAGCAAGGCAGAGTCGCGCATCACATCTTGCCTTGACCAGGTGTTTGAAAATGTTGGGTAGCCAGTTAGTCGACAACGGCCCTGGTGACAACAAGACATTCATGGGCAATGTCTGCAGGACATGATGGCTGACCTTAGCACAGAGGAGGAGAGACTGCTGGGAAGTTTGGTTCTTGAGAAGTATGGCTGGGACCTTACGTCGTGTCCCTCCGTACTGCATTCTTATGGATCCTGCTTGAGCTCCTGGTAAGGCTCGGACTTATTCTTCCTGGACAACTACCCTTCCTCTGTAAGGCCGTGTGAATAAATTAAGCATTGCACAGTGGCTGGTGAGACGTTCAAGATCTGTGAGGCCGTTTTACACCATGCCATCAAAGGACCAGTGCTCCAGCCATGTTTCCTTCGGCTGCACATCCGCTTGGCTTTTGCTGGCTTTGCTTTGTCGTGTGCACCGGCCTCGCCATGTGGCAGGCCCGAATACTCCAACTCTTATGACGTCATCTTTCGTGGTCAGGCGACAAGGGGCCGTCCAGCTGAGACCGTTGGGGAATGACGAGAGTAGCTGCTTGAAATAACGAGTCCATTTTTGGGCATGAGTTGGAGGAGATCGGCAGCGGCGCGCAGAGGTGCCATGACCCTGAGCTCCTGGAGGCTGCGAAAGGGCTGGGAGCCATCGCACTTTGCGGAGACCGGCTGTGACTTAGGCGAGATGTTCAGAGCTTGGCGTTCCCACGGAGCCGCTGCAGCGGGGTCTCCCAGTCATCCACAAGGGCGTGAACGCAATCCGGACTCCGCAGCAATCGCTAGCGCTAGAGTTTGCAAGAACACGGGGGGAACGATTGCAGGCTGGTTCGTAACACGTGTAGTGACAAATGAGAGGACTAGGCATCATGGGAAGCGGAGTGCCAGTAGAGACCAGAGAAAAGTCTCGGGCACAGCAGCTGAAGATGCAGGGGCTACATTGACTCCTTCCGACACGGGGTCGGGAGACTCGGATGACCTTCATGATCCGAATATTGATCAATGCCGTAGCCTGACCTGATGGCACCGGAGGTCTCTCCTCATGGTGGTGTTGGGCTTGGACTCGAGCGGATCGTGCAACTGTGCGGAGCTTGTTACCGGAGTGCTGATCTGGATTGAACGAGATTGTAGCAGAATTTCATTTCCTGGCTGCGGGCCTGGCAAGCTGCAGCTGAAGGTATTTGGGCCTGGACAATATCCGCAAAGCAGCCATGTTCACTCGTGATCCGACACGGCTGAGTCCATGATGCCAACCTCCCGGCTACAGCTAGCACCCGTGCCTCTCAGTAGGATTTGCCAGCAATTTTCAGAGGCGTCGCTTGTAGAAATGTGCCTCTGGCCGTGCCCGATTCAGTCGATAATGGCCCTGCACGCCGACTGCGACACACTGCATGCATTTTGGACTGCGGCCCAATCAGGGAAACCCCAAACCCCCTGCACTGCCTTCCTGCTTGGGGCTCTGAAGAAGTGCGTGCCTCAGTGCCTTACATCTGCATGCTTCTTCAGGCTTGAAGTCACTACTCGGTATACAACAGGATTCAATGTGTTTGTAACAGTATGAGTGCATTTAGAAACAGTCCGAACCCAAGGCCAACAAAGCTCACAGATCTGTGTCCTTCCCTCTGCGCAACTTTGTGTTTGCACTTCGTAGTTTCTCTTGTCCCTGAGCCTCTATGCCTCTGTGCCTCCACGACACATCTCCCTGCTGCGTAACAAGTACAGCCTTCAGGAAGACAACTGTACACCTTTGTTTCTGTGTCTATATATTTGTAGAGCACCATTTGCACAAGAAACGCTTAGCATGTGTGGGTGATCATGCATCCTGCCGTGACTGTCAGCCTTGCATGCTGTTCCGATAGCCATCTTACTTTCCCTTTGTCAGTTGTCTGTCAGTCCATCCGTCCAAACATCCACCATGCTGGACGAATACATACGAATGCGTACACCGTACATGTGTGCACGTTCGGATATTTCTGCAGTTGCACGAGCATGCACAAACATGCTCTTTTCTGTGTAGATGCAGCGACACTCCGAGGTATGGCAGCGCTGCCAAAGCGATGGGCTGGGGTCTTGGATGGCCTTGCATCGGCGGGGGAGGGAGGAGGGGCCAATCTTTGCACTCTATCAGGCCTGGACATTCCTCAAAGAGGGTCTCAAGCAGAGTGCTCAGAGAAGTTGTGCTTGCCCAAACATTTGCCAGAGCTTGTTCGCTAATCCCTGGCTCACTCCGATAGGTTCCGAATGGGCCGTCTCTACGAGACATTCTGGAACTCACAGCCCGGAGCCTGCCAGCAACTGTGCCAGTCCTGCCGACGAAACCGCTTCCAGGTCCAACGTGAAGTATACCGTCGTGTTCCTCTACCCTGGAGCACTTTTCTGGGTCCGATGGCGTGCCGAGACGCAGTACAAGTGCGCCCGGATGTGTTGAAGGCTTCAAGAGGCCCCTAAACGATTTGGGGTCTTCCGAGGTACAATGTCTTCATCGCAGACAAGGAGGCAAAGGAAATGCACGAGGAGTGCTTCTTCGCCGCTCGATTCGGCCACTGCAGAGGTGGAACCTGACAAGAAGCAGAACCTTTTCTTCACATCCTGGACAAATGGCTCCGTGTGGACCACAGATTTCGAATCTGCGGGAGGCTGCGCATGTTTGCAACCTTTCAGCACAGAGGTCTTCTACTTTCCTGCAATGGCAACTGTGCAGGTTCGGGGTTCAGAGAATTCGGTTGGGATGTCGTGGCTCACGTTCAGCTTCTCGCGCAGGACCTGAAGCAATCTGTCTACGGGGATGCCTCCAAGGTCCCGGCTTGTGCTGTAGGTCGTGGCTCATGCAGGCTCGACTTGTTTTCAACCTGGTGGCAGGTGCCTCCTGCTGTTCGGGCAGGCTGCCATGGACGCATGATGGAGGACAGCTTCTTTGGCACGTGGGCGTCGTTGTCATGTGTGAAGCAGTTGCTGTCTCTGCTTCGGGTGCCTCGTCACAAAGATCAGATGTTGGTCTGGCCACTTACAGTATCAATCGGAGCTCTTGCCGGTGCCACCCGGTAAGTGTCCGCCTGTAGCCATGGGTTGGGGTGGCCATGGAAAGGGGAGCCCAGGCTGCAAGAAGAATAGATCCTTGAGCTTTTTCTCCGCGGGAGCAAGAGCAGCATGTTTCAAGATGCCGAACTCGTGTGGTGGGGCGCCTCAGCCTAGCGCCTCGCCATCTGTCGAAGTGGTTTTGACTAGAACGATGTGATGTAGGTTGCGGAAAGGATGGGAATGAGAGGGCTTCCATCATTCTCGATGTGCATCCGAGCCACTGATTCGAGGAAGGGGTTTTGGCACCACCACCACCACCACCATCATCCCCATCATCACGGCATCGGTGGTGCAGTGGCAGAGGCTGCTTTGATCGGAGGAGCAGAGTCTTTCCTGCACAGTTGCAGCACCCTCCTGTTACCGGGAATGGCATCACACTTCAGTTTTCCCTAAGAGATCTATGAGGCAGTTGCTGGAGCCGCTGTCGCTACCGCTGTTGCTGGCTCGCGAAAGCCCCCCCCTCGCACAGAAGTGGCTGCTTGACAGCACATTGGATCGTTGATCCTTCTGCCTGTGCAACAGTCGCAACCATCACACTTCCAAGGTTGTGGTTCCGAATCCTGTGCCGTCTGGGGCGGTGTTGGTGGAAGCCCCACCCAGGCCTGCACCCGTAGCACCCGTGGCAGCGTCCTCAGATGCCGAGGTTGCCGATGATGATATGCAGTGGCAGCTCAACGGGCTTGTGTCCCACTATTGCGTGCTCAGGTTGGCGTCCTTGCCGGCGGTGCAGTAGGTGCCGCTGCCTGTGGACCCGCCGGTGCACTCGTAGGCGAGCGGCGAGAGAATGTGCAGACTAAGCCGGGTGCACGGATACAGCTGCCAAAGCTCTTTGAAGGCGCGGCCGTCGGTGCAGCAGCGACCTCTGGCCCGCCCCCTGGCCGGCCAGTGGTCGTGGCAGCTTGGAGAAATCTCCGGCGAGAGCACCGAGAGCACCGAGCTTTCAAAAGCGAGTGTCTCTCTCAGATCTCAGGTAGCACAAAAGGGCAAGGCCGGGGGCCCCGGAAACTCGCAGAAGCGGAAGCCCCCTTTTCTTCCCTTTTCTTCTCCTCTGAATCTCTGAGCCGAGGGCAAAGGGAAAGGCAAGTGGAAGGGGCCCCCCGCGGTGGCCGTGCAGATGCCTCCCTTGGGAGTGTCAGCCATCGGCATCCCAGCGGTGGGCATCGAGCAGAAGAGTGGGGTGACGGAGCAGCATTGAGCTTCGAAGTGCAAGGCGACGTTGTGGGATCTGCAGCTCAGGTGACATACTTCGGAGTCGACGTGATGCCGGAGACTGGTGCCACCTACCGTCTTCAAAAAAGGTACAATGAGTTCGACGCCTTGAAGGATAGACTGGCAAGGACAGTCTTCGGAGCACTTCCGTAGATTCCCAGCAGCGTCGCTTTCTGAAGCATCGACAGCTGCTTTGTTGATTCTGCGGACATAGTTGTTTGGGTGAGGATTGCGCCGGGATCGATGATTGATCGCGGCTTCCCCCCGAAGCATCTGTTCAGCTGCGAGGTAGCGGCAGCATGTGTTTCAATCACGGAATGAACGGACATGGGCAAGATGCTGTAGCTTGGTTTTCTAACATAACTGCCTCAGACCTGGGAGTTGTAGCACTCGCTAATTTCATAGACTGTTGGCTACGTATGCAGCACTGAACTGGCAGCTCCTGCTGTGGCCACCTCGTTGTTACCAGACTGGTCAGACCAGTGCAGACATGACCCCTCAGAACATATGCAAGACGGCCGGTGTAGTTGCCACTTCAACATGTGAACAGAAGAACAGCGCTCCGCAGGGTGCCAAGCTGGAAGAGCGACGGCACGGCCTGGAGCACTGGCTCAAAGGTGCCCTGAACCATCCCAACGGCCGAGGCCAGCAGCAGAGGCGTTTTTCGAGCCGCTCGCATGATGTCGTGCCGTTTTCGTCGAGGTGCCTGGTGTTTAGAGCTGCGGGACTTCCTCGAGGTTGGCCAGTGCCTTCTTTGCAATCGGACCATTAAGAAACGTCGATCTCCTTCAGCCTCCTCCTTCCGAGGATCCACACGCTTGCACCCGGAATGGTAGCAGAGCCTCGGGCGGCACTTAAGGTACTTAAGCGCTGGTCTGCCCTTCAAATCTCAGCTGCGTTGATCTCTTGTCAGGAGAGTCCTGCGGTGTCGGCCCCGCCTGCACCAGAGGGAGAGGCGACGTGGTAGCCAAGATCCAGCATGTGACAGACACATGCTCTACTGCCGTCGAGGCATTGAAGATCGTCGTGCCGGACGGTGTGGTGGCTGGACAGGTCGGGAGACGGGTCATGCATGGGGAGAAGGTTGATGTCCTGGCCGATATCAGACGAGACTGTTGCCAGGTCCTGGCAGTCACGGTCCCTGATGGAAGACAGCTGAACTTCACGGTCCCTGCCGGCTTCCCACCCGGATCCGATCCTTAGGTCGAGCTTCGCAGCCTTTCTTCCTTTCTTCCTTTCATTTTGATCTTCAGCGGGGGGCCCCTCTGTTAGTCGGAGCCAAGGAGCTCGAGCTGTGGTTCGATCCTGCTGCAGGCAGTCTGAGCCCTTTGGTCTAGGGCCCAGCGTTCCTGTCTTGCCCGAGCTAGACACAATCCACATGTGGGTACTTGTAGAGAGGAGCTTCGCAAAATACGGTCTGTGCAGCTACGGAGCTGCCAGACTGGCGCCTGTTGTTGGACGGGCGGCTGGCCAGTTCCGATGTCCGTTTTGCCGTCCGGCTTCCGAAGGAAGACCGGCATGTACAGAGCACCAGGAAGCAAAAGAGTCCATGGCCTCTTCCTTTGGCTTTTGCACTTTTGCATCAATCATGTGTGCTGGCCTCCAGTCCAGGACACGGACAATCTAGCCTTGGCAGTTCGCACCTTCTGCAAGTCCGGACCTTGATTTGGCTCGTACATCTCTCGACTCCAAGATGGGCTCGCGCATTTCAGGCGAGACCCCAAGATCGTTTTGTGGGAAGAGGCCCGGAAGCTTCGGTAGGGTTAAGCCGTTAAGCCTTTTGCCAGTTTGTGCTGTTGCGAAGCGTAGTGTTCTTGAGAGGAGACCGAGAAGGTTGCCTGATGAGGCACCGTCCTGATTACCCGAGACATGTGGCCTTGTGTCGGTTCACAGTTGAAGGTCGGGCAGCAAGCTTTGATTCTGAGTGATTGAAGAGAAGCTGTGGAGCATGGAGGCTCCGGCAGCATTATGTTTCATAGTGCTAGCACCGCACGATGCAGTAACACTATGACGGGCCGCGAGCTCATCCAAAGTGATTACCGGTGATTAAAGCTGGCTACATAAAGTGTTGGTGGTGACAGGCGGTGCTGAACGTAAAGAAGCACAGACAGCGTCAAAGGATAGATTTTTTTCATATCTGCCGCGGTACTTGGTTGTTGAGTTTTGTGCGCCCATGCGGAGAAACTTGCCGCTGTGCAGTGCTGACGGAGCCCATGTCTTTTCATCCTCTTTTGGTGGTGTAGATCGCAAGCTCACACAACGAAGTAATGAGCTGCCCGCAAGGCACGTGGCTCGACATGATAAAGTAGATGTGATCGTAGCATCGAGCTTCGGCGAACCAGTGCTGCTAAAAGAGCTTTAGATTTCATGGCGGCGCAGCGCTCAGAGAGTCAGGTAGACTGGATATTAGTGGGAGAGAGGAAAGCAAGCATGGTGGCTCCATATGATTGCAACTCAAGGTCAGATGTCGATTGGGTGAGCTGTTCCACCAGTACGTGCAGCAAACTCGGGCTGACCCCTCAGGCATCGTGCTCTCGTGCTCTAGTGGCATGGCATGAGCGGTGGAAGCTTCCCAGGCTCAGAACAGCTTCTCTTCAGTGATCAGCAAGCGCGTTGAGCTAAGAAAGATCGCCGGAGCCGAGCAGGAGTAGAGCTTGGCGACTGCAGAACTTTTGAGGACTGCAGTTCCTGCAGTCCAGCGAGAACCTGAAGAGGAGTAGCTTTCAAGTCCGGGAGCCTAAACTTCTTAGAGGGCATCTGCTGTGTGCTGCTCGAAGAGCGTCGCTGAGTTCGGCAGCATGCCTAGTACACTTATTCTGAGATTCATGAAACAGTCCCTGACAGCACCAAGTTTCCGCTCCACCAAAGCGATTGTCATGCCTTCGCCATGGCCCAGGAGCCGACTTCAATGTTCCTCGCAATTCGACGGTATTTTGAAGACCGGTCATGTTGTCCAGGAGGGGCAAACTGTTCATGGAGGTGGGCTTCTCTGCTACATATAAGATTGGCTTCCAACAGCGACGGCAGCTGCAGGGGTCATCGCCACAGTCGTTGAGGATGCGGCTGTCCCGGCTCTGAAGCGCGCCACCCGAAATCACATGCTTGCGGTGAGTTCGCAGCAAGGCGACCACTATGCACATCTGCGCAAATGACGTGCGAAGCCGGAAGGCAAGCTCCTGCGTGCCTGTGCTCATAGCCTCCAGCCGAGCCAGCAGACAAGCCATGCAGCTGCCCAGCCAGTAGTGTGGCGTAGAAAAGTCCACGTTGGGATGTCCGTGTAGCAGATGTTGTTTGGGCTTATTTCGCCGCCCTTGGGTTGTTGGTGTCTAGCAGAGCCGTATCTTCCCACGGCAAGTGAGAATGAATCGCTCCATTCAGGCAGTCACGACCGACATGAACTTGACATACGCCACATGCTGAGGTTTAGGAGGTGCTTGAAAGGTGAAGCAAAGAGTTGGCATCTTTGAGGTCGGGGTGGGAAAAGTTGGCCGTACCCTGCAGATCGATACGAAGATACTGAAGGTGGGGGAGCCTGGCATGCAGGAGACACTTCAGTCGTAGTGATCTCTCACAAATGCTCTGATAAGCAGTATGGAGTTGAAGATGTCACAGCCGCTTGACATCTTGCAGATTGGTGGCGTGCTGGGCGTGGCGGAGGCGGAAGTGACAGACATTACCTCTGGAAAGGCCGGCTTGCACAACACCTGAAGAGAACAGGGTAAGGAGACTCCTGTCACTCGCTGGACTGCCCTTGCAGCTCATCGCCGTCGGTCGTCATAGCATGATGTTCGTGGGAGAAGTGCAGATCTCAGCAACGACGGATGCGGCCCAGTTCCGATGCAAGCGACTTGTTGACCCTGCACCTCCTGCCAAGGATGGTTCCGCGCTGAAGTTCGCGCAGTCTTTGAATTCCGTCTTCGATGTGTAGACCCGTCGAGACCGATTGAACATCGCGGATATCCTCAAGCCTTGCAGCGGACCCATAGCCCGACATTGTCCCGAATAGTCAAACTAGAAGTAGAACAGACAGTGCATCAGCTGGAGCACAGCTTGGTGGAACTCAAAGTGTCTGTCGCTGTTTCAAACGACGCGCGGAGCTCGCACGAAAGAAGATGGCCGCTGGAGTGGTTGCATGTTAGCTGCAAGTGGGGTATCACGTGATATCATGCGGACTCCTGGCGACTTCCTTCTGGTTCAGTCCCTCCGCCTCCACCATCTTGCCCCCACATATGCTGTATGCTGACGTCGTTGTTGAAGTCAAGGTTGCTCTCTTTTCCAATGCTGTACCCAGCTAGAGACGTTTCAACTCCACAAATGTATGCAGTACTTCCCAGGCCGCAGACCCCACCAAGCAGGGTTTGAACTCAATATATGTGCAAGATTCCAAAGCAGAATGAACATGGTGGACGATGGCCTTTGCCGCTGCGTTTGCGCCGGTCCTGCCAAGACTGCGCTCTGTACTCTTCCCAGATGTGGGCACCGCACTGTTGGGAGAACAGTAGTTCGAAAGGTGCGTTGCTTCGCAGTACCTTGCTCTTAAGGTAGCTTCGGACTCTGAGCGTGGCGGAGTCGGTCCGTCCGCGTCTTGAAAAATGGGCTTAAGTTTGCCTGTGTCTGCATTCATGCCGTGAGCAACTGCAAGGAGAGGGAACAGGGCTCTACTCTCGGTTGAGGCTTGTTCTGTCCCTGCCTCCTTTGTGTTGCAAGGCTGGTGCTGCCCCGCGTGACCCCGGGCTTCGGCGATCCGCCCGAGGCGAGCCTTTGGCCTTCTCCTTGGCCGCGAGACGGCCGCTCCGCCTGACGCAGGCAACAGCCGATGAGGAACGGTGCCAGCCTGAACACCGGCACCAGTACAACAGTCCGTTTGAACTCCGGCTTCATGCTCGAAGGAGGTAGGTGTGTGTGTGTGTGTGTGTGAGAGTGTGTTGAATGAACGTGAATGATTGACCTTCTGGCTCGGGTCCGACATCCGCTAGAGAGGCTCGTGACAGGTCATCCACTCAGTACGGCTAATCTGCATCTGCATTTCTACTCATTACTGACTATAGACGTGACAGCACGGCCTACAGCTGCAATGTCCCGATCTTGGACCCCTGTGTTGGTGGCGGGCGTCTCCGCGGGCGCTGTGAGCGCTTGGTTGTTCTGGCGCCACACAAGGGCCCTGAAGGCGCTTGACATCCAGGCGAAGCCCGCAGAGCCTCAGCCTACCCAGCCTACACAGCCTACACAGACTACGCAGCCTCAGCAGCCTCAGCCACGGCAGGAAGACCCCGTAAAAGCAGCGGTGGAGCCTGTGCAAGAGCAGTCAGAGCTTGAGATCGACTTTTGCGTCGAGGGGGAGCTGCAGCAATGCGAGCATGTGCTGGGGGTTGTGCAATGCCTGCGTGCCGAAGGCACTAAGAACGCTTCGGTGGACGCTGCCCTGAGCGCCTTGCAAGAGCTCGTTCCAAAATATGCAGCGAAGCTGAAGGAGAAGCGCTGGCTGGCTTCGAAAGGCACAGCACTCTTGGAAAGCACCTCTGAGGCTCTTCAACTACTTTTGTTAGCAGATGACGAGCAGAACTTGGAGACCGCAGCAAAGACTGGCCGAGATATACCAGAAGTCGTTTTTGCTGCACAGGCTTTGAACAAGATCCTCAACTCTGGTGGCTGCTGCGGAGGTGGGGGTGGAGGCTGCAAGAGCGGCGGTTGTGGCGAAAAGAGCAGTGGAGGTGGTTGTGAGAGCAAGAGCGGCGGCGAAAAGAGCGGTGGGGGTTGCTGCGGCGGCAAGAGCGGCGGCTGTGGGAGCAAAAGTGCAGAAGGTCCTGCCACCGGTGGAAGCTGCAGCGACAAGCGAAGTGGCTGTGGTGGCTGCAGCAAGCAAGGTGGTTGCAATGAGAAAGCAGAAACCCCAGAGACGCGCGTGAGCACCGACGGTGCAGTCCGTCTCGCCACCTGAGATTTCCTTCGGCCATCTATGCTACCAGAAGTGTAGGCAAGACTGGCGTTTTCATCTGTTCAGTGCAAAAAGCCTTGCCCGTTGCACTTTTTTCCTCAATTCCCATCGTACGAAGCTTGCCTCCGCAGCTCAGCACTGAGGAATGCGGGTCAGCTCGATGTGGTCCGGCACCCGGTCGAAGTGACCAAGACAAAGTGCGGGAACCTTCATCGGGGCATCTTGCGGTGACAAGGTGTCACCAGAGACGGAAGAGGAAGACAGCTGCAAGGACGACTCACTGTGCACAGAGAGCGCCAGTGCCAGCATCCCCTCGGTCCAGGAGAGAAGTCCGAGCCAGCGTGAGCTTGAGCTGCCTCAGCCCCATTCCGTGAGCCGCATGTGCAGCGTATTCTTCGAGGTTTGCCCCTATGCTTTTCTTCAAGCGGGCGCAGGCCCTCAAAGATTCCCCGCAGATTGGCTTCAAGCTGGAATACTCTGAGAGGCCGAGTCGAGCTGGGCGAACCACGCCGTGGGTCCCTTCACGAGGCGAAAGAAATCCTTGGTCCAGTCTTTTGATTCGAAGCGCCAGAGTCTCCATTCTGCTTCGCTGTGACTGGACATGCTGTCCTTTGACTGGCAGCGGATGCAACGGCTAGGTAAGGATGGAGACGCTCACCGCGGTGGGACATACTCAGCTTAGAGAGAGTGTTGGGAAGTACGGTATGTCGGGCTTCAGCAGTAGAGGCAGAAGAGATAGACAAGTATGTTCAGGTTTGGGTGGCATGGATTGCAAGTAATCCATGCATAGGACCAGTGTGGAGAGTGGTAACGCACAGCATTCGTAGGCCATCGGAGCTCTAATGCTGTTTGACTATTCTGTAAGTTATGTCTGGCTTGCGACTTACTACTTCGATGCCTTTCCTACAAAATGAAAACAGAATGGGCAAGCACGAGACGATCGGCATATTCATACATATATATATATATATAATATGTATAATTATATACCTCCCTCTCCACAGGTCGATAAATAGGTAGGCACATAGATACATAGTCAGTTGGGTAGTTATGCGTATATATATATATATGTATGTATATATGTATATAGGGATGCATGTATATATGTATATATGTATATATGTATATATGTATATATGTATACATACAGCTCTATGTCCTGATGATGGTTCTGATGAGAGAGAACTGACAGGCTCCAAGAGAAGGCCGGGCTTCTGGACGCCCAGCGCTCCGAGGAGCCGGTGAGATTCCTACACACGCAAGCAGCAGCACAAACTTGTGCGATCGACATACATAAGGCACGGTTCTTTCGCATGCAGACAAATGATGTATATATGCTTGTTATCTATGTATATATATATATGTATATATATATATGTGTTTATATGTTTATATATATATATATATACATGTATATATGTACATATATATGTATGTGTAATTGTTTATGTGTATGTATATATATATATATATATGTATATATATATATATATATATATATATATATATGTATCTGTGTATGTATGTATATGTGTCTATGTGTCTATGTGTACATGTTTATATGTATATGTACATGTATATGTATATGTACATGCACATGTATATGAAGATGTATATGTAGATGTATATGTATGTATATATTCATAGGCATAGAGCAAAGTTTACACGCATGCACATGGCACGAGGTCCCTTTACATGTGCATTCAACCGTGAGTCTCCGTCAACGCCAATCTTGATAGCCGCCTCATATGCAAGGCATCTCTAGAAGGAGAGCATCCCAAGAAATGAAGGTCTTGCCCCCCAGGCTTGGTGAGACATGTTGACAGACAGCAGCACCCAGGCACACATCAAACAACAATCAATCTACGAAATTTGGGCGGTGTGTTGTCGTTGTTTCGTTTGCGTGCTTTGAAGATTAGTTTGTGTTGTGAAGCATGTTGACGACTGTTGTTGCATGTCATGATATGTGTCTGGCTGTTATTGCATCCGGGTTACACTCTTTACCGTTGAAAGGGCAAAGCGAGAAGGTCCTGAACATGATGACGTGTCATGACTTGCCTTGTATGTGAATGCTCTTTGTTGCATCGAGGACATGTTCTCAGATTCTAATGGATATCATAGACGAAGTAGATCCATACAAAAGATGGTCGTTCTAAGAATCTTGTGAGGACGAGAGGCTGCAGGAAGCAGCGGAGTCCTTGGAGATTGGCCTTCGTGCAATTGAGCTGGGCCCACAGATCATGATGTCAGCATTGTGCGATGAGGGTGGCAGTGCTGGTAACTAATCAGTATTCTCCTAGAGTTGTTTGGTTCGAGTTTTGACGCAGTCGCAACCTCAGGGTTCCTGCCGGTCTTGCTTGTAATACATCAGTTAGTCTGATCTTGCTTCCTGCCATGATGTCAATGTCTTCACTGGGCTAAAAATTGCTTGACGAGGCTGGCAGAAGAGATCGCCAGAAACATCTGGAGAGACCTGTCGGGGGAGGCCAGGAAACAAACCAGTGTGGAGTCGGAAGAGAAGACCGGGGCCCCAGAAACATGATTTTGAAAGGGGCCTCCTGTGGACCCGTCGAGTTCAAGCACGGCCAGACACGAACCACATGTACATAGCCCACTGGTTCATGCTGGCACGTGCCCATTGCTCAGCTGCTGATTTGGCACAGGTTCCCGTTTGAATGCAGCAGTGAAGTGATCTGGTTTGAGGTGAGCAAGAGGATGCAAGCGAGCGGCCCATGCCGAGCCAGTGGTCACTCCAGTGGCAAATTATGGTTTTACGCCCTTCTTTCTGCGCACGTGATGCAAGCAAGAAATCGCCTGTGGTCTGATTCAATGGATCGAAAAGCGGTGGTCAGCGAACAGCTGTACTCTCCGCGGGTTTGTGCAAGTTGTGCTTGGTTCAGCAGAACCAGAGGTTTGTCGATGGGCGAGTTCATCGCTCTGCTGAGCAACTTTTGTACTTGTATGTGTTTTGCACCTCGAAGGCCACCGCCTTGTGCTTCACGATCCCAATTTAGCCAGCTTGATCTGCTGTTTTGCACACATGCTAGCACCACTTCCATGCGGGAAGGTAGCACTGATGTGGGGGTGGGTGGACGGGTGCACTTTATGCGTGTGCGTGTACACGAGTGAGTTTGTCATGGAGTGCTTGGCTGTGCTTTCTGAGTCGAGGCTCCGTGACGCATATGCCGAGATCCACCAGGCCAAGCTGGCCAAGCTCTCGTCCTCTTCGGTTTTGACGGAGCAGGTGGCTGCTTCCGTGGCGCATGCGGCCACGGCGGCCACGCAGCTCGGAGAGGCCTTCGAAGGGCCATTCTGAGCGAAGAGCTCATATGAGAGCGAGGAGGGACAGGGACTGCCCGGGTTCCTGCAAGGCAAGCCCGGCTCCGGCAGTCGTGGAAGGAGTCCTTCACGTCCGCCCCCAGCCCCGGCTCTTTGCATTTTGAGTGCCCCTGTGTGTGTGCAGATCCGCTGGCGACTCCGATGCATGCTGCAAGGGGACACAGCCAAACAGCCACGCTTGCATGCAGGAGACATAAGCACACACAAGCAGCTTTTGCAACTTCACTCCAGACCCAGACCCACCTATTCTTCAATTTCAAGACACTAAGTATTTTGTTCCAGTGGCGCCCGGTGGCCATGCCCGCACCTTCCACAAAGGACACTTGGGCTTGCAGCTCAATCTGCCGCAGCGCTGCTCTGCCGCTGGTGTTTCTACACCAGAAGATTGAACCTGAAGAGGTCGGAGAGCGCCCTGGTGGTGCGGAGCTGCCCTTCGCCGCGCAGATGGCTTTGCTCCGCAACAGCACCCCCAGCTGCGAGCGGCGGAGGCGAGATCCTTCAGCCTGGCAAAGCTGCAGAGCCTTGTGCCTTTCGAAGGTTACGAGCCAGCGGGCTTGCCATCGCAGGCAAAGCCGAGACTCTGCCACCAAGAGCAAGGTGCAGTCGGCGGATCTCAGATGAGCAGCCCATCAGATCAGCCAACAAAGGCGAAACCGGTGGGGCTCGGTGAAAGCTATGACCAGCGATGGTCAGTGGCTCAAGATTTCCCCGCCTGGAGAGGTCCTGCCCGCTTTGGCTTGTACAATCTTGCACATCTCTTCTTGCAGGTCCCGCTAGAATAGGAAGACACGACCGCATGTCACGCGCGGGGCCCGGCTTGAGTCAGAGTCTTTAGTCGGGGGCTTAAAGATGGCAGAAGGCATTGTTCCATTATGTTCCATTGTTCCATGCTCAGGAAGGTCGCCGTGGGTAGAAGCTGACCAAGAGGTGCGGATCTGTGCAATGCCTCTACTCTCTGCTTGTACCGTAGACGGTACCGATATGTTCTGTGAGCTGTGAGCAGGTGAGGCCAAGGGGTGACCTTGCCCGTCGAACATCGGCTTCCTGACAAGCAGACCGAGCCAAGACTCAAGCGGCCCACGCAGCAACACCGAGGCTTTCTCGACTCCGCGTGACTTGGGCGGTCATGAAAGCATTGTTTTGAGCCCACGCCTTAGCTGAAGTTTTTCTTGCGCAGCTCCAGAGACGTCTTGCGCATATACGAATTCAGCGCATTCGGGGCTGTTCGCGCCTGTGTAGGTGCTGACATCGAATGTAGTGACGAGGAATCTGTGCAGGCGGCCGAAGTGATCGTGACATGTCTTGGCCATGGCCGTAAGCCTTGCACTCCGCCAGGAGGCCCGTGGGCGAATCGCAGAGGACCCTCGCTGCAGCAACTCCCACATCACCACTCAGAAAGTGGTGTGGCCCTTCCGGAGGGTCTAGCTTCCGGGTCTAGGGATTGGGGCTCATGCTTTAACGGTCAAGCGCGAAATACGGGGTTGTGCTTGGTGTCCGTGCTGTCAGATTGCCATCGTCATCCAGGACGAAGCTGTGCAGGCAGCCACGTGCGCGCTACTCTATCCGAACAAGGCCTCGTGGACCTTGGTCAGGCTTCCCTTCCAGTTGACCTCTGGTGCAGGTGGTCGCAGCCTCCGTAGTGCGGGGGTGCTCATCGCGCAAGGAGCTCCAAGATCTTTCCCGTCGCCTTGACATCTCCAGAGCCATCGCGAGAGTTCCACGGAGTGTCACACAGGAGCCGCTCTTGGAGGGCTGCTGCTACCGAGCCAGCAACGGCTGCTGGACGAGCAAAAAGCGCGAGAAGGTCGGTCTTCGGTTGCCGAGGGCACACTCTCTGCGGGTCGCGACCTTGATGGCAGGTTTTCCTCTCGATTTGACGAGGCTGGGGTTTAGCTCATCGGCGCCGCACTTTGGCACGCTTAAGTCTTTGCAGATGTTGCCGAGGAGTAGTCTCTCCTCACTGCTGACCCTGCCTCCGGCAAATTCAGAGTGGGCTGAGTCCCCAGCTCTTCTGCAACGTGCTCCTCGATCGTAGCACCAGCAGGATTTCCAGACTAGGGGCTCTGGGCTCTGGAGGATAGTTGACGGAGCAGTGCGGAACTTAGACATGCTCGCGCCTGCAAGGAAGCTTCAGAAAGATGCCAGTACAGGCTAGGGGTAAAGCTTGCTGGCGCAAGCACTAATTCGTTGCCTAGCATGCTCCGTGAACGGAGCGAATATGTTTATCCATAATCTGATTCTGCATCGTCTGCTAAAGGGCAGTTCAGCTTCACACAAGTGGAGCAAGCTGTGGTCCCGGTCACTGCACCTGGACCCGGTTACTGTTTAGGCACGGCCTCACTGCAGAGCCGGTGCCGCTCCAATGACTCGCATTGGCGCATCTCAGGGACATTGGGCTCGGGCTGAGTTGAAGTGCTTGCCGATGTTTTTTGGACACGGGAAACTTTTTTTTTCACTCGATTGCCGTTCGATCCTCCTAGCAGAGCCAAACCAGTCTATGCTGACAAACAACTAGTAGCTCAGCAACTGGTACAGCATAGTGCAGCTCATCAGCGTTTGACGCATCCACTATCCCTGCCAATGCTAACGACAGCATGTAAACGGCCATGCTTTCGAATGGATCGCCCACGGCGCCGGTGCCAGGTTGTTGACGGAAACCGATGGCCGATGCGGAAGTGTGCCGATAGTGCGACATGCGTGTGCAGATCAGTTCCGTCAGTGCGGATGATTCGTCTCCTTGGTCTTTGGAACTGGATGTGACTAGCGACATGCGTGTCGCAGAGCTGAAAGAGGTGTTGACCAGGCACGGCGTGGGGCTGTCTGACAATTCCAAAGTGCTTGGTAGGCGGGCCAACGGGCTCATGGTGACCCTAGAGGACGGCTCCAAAGTAAGCCGAGATATGCTCTTGCGAGGAGCCACGGTCCCAAAGAAGGACCAAAGCAGGGCGACGACAACAATGGCCACTCCTGTGCAGCAGTACCTTTCTCGTACCAAAGGAGCACATGTGGCTGAAACTGCGCCCACTACTCAACCGCCACCCAAAGCAACTTTCCCCCCACGTTATGGCACGGAACCTTTAAAGAACCAGTCAGTGATTCCCAGTTCCACTCAGCTTCAAAGGCAAAGGATTCCCGATGCTGCTCCTCCTCCCTCGAAGGCATCAGTCCAGAAGAAAGAGCAGAAACGGAGCTGGCTTCGGATGGTTCAGCATGTCTGGCCTGCCGAAGACATCGTCAGGAGGCCAACGGCCCCTCAACAGGTCGTTGCCTTGGCGGATGCACTGCAAGGGATCATCAACGCTGTGGCTGCCGAGCCCGTCCAAGTGCAACTTGATTCTATCTTAGCGTGCAAGCCCGAAGAGCAACTCGAGCGGGTGGAAGGGAAGCAAGTGAGAATCATCGAGATGATCAGAGACTTCAGCAAGCTTATTTGCCGCAGCGCGCGGCCAACCTTGAGAAAGAAAGGCCACGGCAGCGGTGGCTTACGTGCGCTTTCGCAGGTCTTTCGAGAGTTAGAGATCATCTCACCACTAGAGCAAGTCAGCGTGCTTCTGGGATCTTACCAATACGTCTTGTGGATGGGCCCCGTCTCTGACCAACAGGCCCGGCCTCCACGCAGACAGCCGGTGAGATGCATGCCAGCATCCATCCCCTTTGCATACATCCACCACGCAGCTTTGACGCCTCTGGAGCGACGGAAGCGTTCCTGCTTCCGTACGATCGCTTTTCTTGACATGATGCTGAGAGAATATGGGAAATCCGCTGCCGGAGCTTTTGGGGAAGCATGGTCCATGTCAGAGGCGGTCCGGTCGACGCTGACTGTTTGGGTGTTGGGTGCACGCGACGGTGAGGAAGGATGGCTTGCTCGACTCGGCTACTGCGAAGATGCAGCGGGGCTGCTCAGTGGCGAGGCAGAGCGGCTGAATCTTCACCTGATTGGGGACCTCAGCAGCGATGACATTCCGTCTGGGAGGCGAGTACGAGTCAGTGCAGGTGCGAAGCAGCCGCCGTCCAAGCCAGACCTGGTGGTTTGCTTTCACGCAGATGAGCGGCTGGCTCGGTGGATGCCCCTTCTTGCCGACATCTTGGCTACATCCACTGCCTCGCATCAACCGGTCTTGGCGCTGACCTCGCGATGCGAAGCGGAAGCTGAGCGGGTTGCATCCCTGTTCGGCCAACTCGGGGGTAGAGTCCTGCTGCGCAGCGTCCGTAATCTCTTCTCCGGCATGGCTGCCGGCCCTCAGGCCACATACGATGATCATGGCTGGGTTTCTGCCATTCAGGGTTCGAAATTCAGCGCCATGCAACTGCTGGAGCACATGAAGGCTGTGTCTCTTTCGCAGCCACAAGTAGCGTCCGACGGAAGCCCCAAGGAGGACGGACAGGGACAGCAGGGTGCACCGGAGCGGGGTCAAAGAAATCCCGCTGTTTTCTGGGGCATCCTGGACCTCAAATACGACCCGGACCTTCCCCTAGAGAGTCGTGTCAAAGTCCTTGAAACGGGAGATGGCCGTAGCTCCAAATTCTCCGGCTACGGAGCCGCGATCAAGGAAAGCTTCAAAGCAGACAAGAAGCTGGAGGAGACACTGCATCGCGCTGTTCTTGTTGAAAACAAGAAGCTGACGCGTGACTTCTTCGTTGAGGGCGGCTATGGACATCTTATGCCGAGACAAGTTTGCTTCCGGCGTAGCTACAGCGATCACCTAGCCGCAGACATCATTGCTGGACTTGGGCTACACTCGACAGAGGGTGGCTGTGTTCTGAAACTCTGCAACCGAGCACGTGGTGCTGGCTGCATTCCGATCCTGGCTGCAGATCTTGACTTGGCCCTCGAGCGTTTGCTGATTCTGCCAGACAATGTCGAAGCTTGGCTAGACGGCCAAGACAGAGAGTTCCCTGTCGAATGCAAGTGGGGCTGTTTCCAGGAGCAGATCAGACACTGGTGGTCCAACGAGTGTCCTGTCTTCGTTGCAGAGGAGCTTTGCAAGTCCGCCCCCGTGCAGCAAGAAGGCAAAGCCTTTGATGGGACCATGCGGGTTGGCTTCTCCCTGCATCGTGTGGAGGAGCCGGCTGAGTCAGAGGCGGAGGCGGAGGAGGAAGAGTTGACTTTCCACAATGCTCCCGATCCAGAACCGGCTGTCGAATTCCCTGGCGAGGCGCTGCCAGGATCCCTGAGCATTGAGTGGCTCGGTGGCTACTGGAAGCTTCCCGCAGAGGACACTACTTCTTCAGACCTTACCGCCAAGGTCATCAGCAAGGCTCGGCAAGGCACTGCCCCCGTGGACGTGCAACAGCTGCAGGAAGTCTATGCTGCGTTGGGTGATTCAGTTCAGCAGGTCTTCACCAACGCGAGCCTGTCTCCCCAGACCCTGCTGCGGCGCTACCCGGACATCTCTGAGCTTGGTGCGTTCGTTGCATCCAGGCTGGCCTGTTCCATGCGAATGCGGGACCCCACCAAGAGCCAGATGGTCCTTGGTCTGGCTCAGACATCTTTGTCGAAGTGCAAAGAGCCGGACAGCGTGACCTGCAAGCCTTTCGTGGAGTCCTACATCCACCGGAACTTCGGGGTTTTGGAGGCTTTGATGGGCCGCTGGAACAAGACCGCGGACCACTTTCAGAAGGCGATCTCGGTAATGCCCACGAACGCCACAGCCCGCTACCTTCTGGGAATGCAGTGCTTGGAGACAGAGCTCTGGAAGAAGGCCATCGCACAGTTCGAGGCAGCCCTGCAGCTTGACCCAGACTTCAAGGCGCCCTGGATCAACCTGGCAGTGGCAAATCTGCGCTTGGGTCGCTGGCGGGAGGTCATCCGGGTACCTTGGCTTGTGATCTCCTCTCGTACCATCTTAAACGCTGCCACGCTCCCAGGCATGTGATGCCGGCCTCTACCGGCACCCCAACACAGCTCACTGCTTCTACAACAAAGGCCGGGAGTGCAGGCGACCGGAAAGGCTTTGCCATCTTCTGCTCATGTCGTACAGTGTCGCACAGGCTTGGCATACTTTTTCCTGGCAGTGGAGGAGGAGGTTCTTGGTAGTCCTTCAGCCTGGCTCAGCATGCCAATATATCATGTCAACACTGTGCCATACTTTGCCTGCACTTGCGGCGCAGCTTCTCAGAAGCATGGAAGGCGCAAGCACCGTGGAAACCCGCAGCGCTGCCCGGCCGCATTTATGCCGCAGGGTATATGGTATGCCGGTGTGTTTGGCGGAAGTGGCCCGGGCGGCCGTGTCGGGCCCCAAGGCAGCTCCGCGCAGCGGCGATCCAAGCCTTCGAGGACGTGCGTGCGAGTCTGGAGAGGCCGGGGCTCCGGGGCGCCGGGCTCGGCCGGGCTCCGCTGCCTTCCCCTTTCTTCGTGTCACAGCCTTTACTGCTGAGCTCTTAGCCGGTTACTTGTCGACATGAAATGTATTAAGGAGGTGAGGAGTTGCTTCAGTAATTCTCAATCCCTGACCACGGCCGCGCCTAGATGGTCTCTAGGTGCTATGCGAGTCTCGAATCGCTGTACTGAGGCAGACTGCCTGTTAATTGAGCGGATGACTCGACTGCATCGGTATCAGGACGTCGATGTGGACGGCAGCTGATGACCAGCTCGCCGGTTGCTGAGTTCGAGTAAACGCCAAGGGACCCAACATGAAGCAACGCCCTGCTGTTTTTGTCTACCTGATGTCTGTCATCGTACAAGCGTTGAAGTATTATTAGTCGTCGCCTAAACCTTATAGCCTTATGCTTAAAACCCAAACTCCTAGACGCTGAACTCTGGACTGGCTGTTTTCGTTTGCCTGGTTGGAAGCCTGAGCGGTTCTTGTAGGACCTCATTGTAGGATTTGAGCTCTTTGAAAGGCTCGACATCCCTCAAGCTTAAACTGCAAGAAGGTATGTGGCTCGGAGTCGGCACGTAGCGCAGCACATTGCTTGCAATGAGTGTGCACCCGGCCGACTGCGCGGACGATTCCGCTTCACCATCCCGGGACCTTCCGAATGCGAAGAAGGCGTGGACCCAGCCAGATCCGATCGAACGGCCAGCTGAAGATTCGCCTCGTGAGTCACCAGCTCCGCCCAGCGATGAACCGCCGGCCTTGGGCGAGGAGGAGGACGCTGCTCCAGAACCCAACCACAAGAAGCTCAAACGACGTGTGTCGCTATCGGCGTTGCTTCCGCAGCAGTCATCACCAATGGCCTCAACGGTAAAGCACCAGAGGAGTGGGTCGTTGGTGGGAAAGGCAGTGTCATGGAATGGGTTTTTGCCCGCGACTCGTCGTGCGACCTCCACACAGGAGCTTCCTGAGACACCTTCTGGCGGGTTCTGGCGAGAGCCTGACGTGCTTGGGGCCCCGGACCGCGACAAGGACGCTGAGGAAGACGCAACAGTCGTGTCAGTAGCCGTAGGGGTGAACCTCGCCGACGTGAACCTGATCATCATCGGGAAATGTGACGAGGCCACAGAGCTGCTCAGGAAGCGGCGACGGGAAGGGGGTCGGGCTTTGCTGCTGTGGACCAACCGACCCCAACAGCGTGCGGTACAGGCTTGCAATGCAGATCTGCGAAGCGCAAGGCTGAATATGCCCAACTTCGTGTGGAACCCTCCTCCAGTGAGCGACCCCACCTCTCCGATGGTTCATCGGATGAGGAGGGAACATAGTTGTTCTGCGACCGGTATGAGTCGTTTCGGACCCGACATTCTGGATCTCAGAGACGTCGAGTGCTACCATTACCAGGTGAAAGTCGATGACTGCGGCCACGAGTGTGGCATCGAGGTTTATGACGAAATGCGAGGAAACTTGCTGTGGGCTGTGTCAGGTGCAATAGTCTTTTGTGGGCCTTCCTTTGTGGGCCACGGCCAAGTCGTGTGCTCCTCTATCAGTGAGGTCCAGAGCCTGGACGTTTGTGTTTGTTTCGAGGAGGCCAAGCCTCTGGCAACAACCACGACAAACACGGTCGTCTTCGCTTTTTTCCAGAACTTTCTGTTCCTGGTCGCCTACTTCGTCATCATGAGACATTTCGAAACCAACGTCGATTCCGAACCTTGGCCATGGTGGCGCCTATCCTGGGTGTTAGCGCCGGGCTTGTCCATGGGTGCCTTGATCTATCCACGGTATTGGGGCATGACCCTTTTTGGCCGCCATCCGCCAATCTGGTTTTACGGCCTCGGGGCTGCGACCTTCACCGCCTGCATGGGATGCCTGTTTCTGCCCATCGGGTGGACGGTGGGCTTCTGGAGCCCAGCAGTGAAAATGATGACTTGGTCAGTCTTCACCGTGAGCTCTGCAGGTACAGTCATCTACATCGGCCTGTGTGTTTGCGTACATCTTCTGTCCCGTCGTTTCGCAGGGGAAAGTGAGCTGCCTCTAGATTGGTATAATCATTTCGCCTGGGCCTGCACCCACATTGTCACCACGCTTGGAACCTGGATTTTCCTCTATGGGGTTTCCTTGACTTATGTATGGATGGACATGTCCTTCCCACAAACAGCGGCATTGTTTCTGGCCTTCTCCACGAGCACAACCGAGAAGGCGGTGAGCAAGATTTTGAACTCATCCTACACCACCTTCGTTTACACGCCACGCAGCTCCATCAACGGCAGCAGGAGCATCATCGGGGACCAGCGCCGTTATCTCACCATCCCGGTGGCGATGACACATGCGTATTGCGAGGCTGTAAGATTGGTCAGCCTTCTGTCGGTAACGGTGCGGAGTCCGAGCTGGGCATGGTTGCCCAGTGTCCTGCTAAACGTTAGTGTCAACCTCATGGAGAGGACCCAGCTCATGCTGACTTTGGCAGTCCGAATGTTGCCATGGTGTGATTGGATGTGCCCAGGCCTGAGTCTGGTAATCTTGCATGATGTGAAGCTTCACACCGGGTACGCGCAGTATGTCGCAGTAATTGCCTTGTTGGTGGCTGAGATGGTTGGCGGAGTGAATTTGACGTCCGTGTTCAACATGCAGTGTTTCATCTTGATTGTCTGCTGTATGCTCTTGGAAATACTAGAAGATGTTCTAGTGCACACCCTGCCACGCAGCGACTGGTGGCGCCGAAGGTTGTCGCCGTACTACGAGCAACAGCCACTGCTGCATCCGAAGCAGCTCCTCCTCATGGATCATCACGGACCCAACTACGAAGCAGCGCCTTTGGCCCTCCATGGTCAGCGATCCCTGACCTTGATGGAGGTTGTCGCGCTCATGTGGCCGAGCTCGTTGTTCACCTATGTGCTGATGACGCTGCTGCTAGGAGCTGGGTACGTGCATGGCGTTTGCCCCGTACCCATTCCCAAAGAGATGCGAGTTCTTGATGCACTCATTTGGGAAACTCCGCTAAGGTGTTCATGATTTTTGGACTTGGAGGGTGCTCGTGTCTCACAAATTTCAGCCGCTTCGAAACTTTACAGTCTTTTTTCCCGAAGCTCCTCCAGTTGTGCCAGATGTGCCTTACCAGCACAGCTGGGCTGTCTTGGATCTGCCACCGCGGCCTGCGGCGCGGTAAGATGTCGAGAGACACGTGAGAGGTAGGCCGCATTGTAAATGCTGCCCGACACTCACTCACTCACTCACTCACCTTTCTATGGATTCTTTCTCGATCCCTTGGTACGAAGCCTCGAAGATCGGACTCCGTGTTCAACAGGTTCTTAAAGGCGAGCATAGGATCTCGAGAAGGAGAATTGTCTTCCGGCAGCAGGTGCCGCTTTATAAATGGGGGCTTGTTCTGAACAACCGAGGCCTTCAGCAGAGCAAGCTGTCTCGGGGGAGAAGTCCCCAAACCCGAAAACACATTAAGGGCCCGAAGAAAAGACGACAGTTCTTCATCAAAAGTTGGAAGAGTCAAGTTGTTGTGGAACCAGACCCCAAAGAAGAATTCATCTCAGACGGCCTTTGTTCGCTTTGCCTGCAGCGGCTTTGGGACTTGCCGAAGTCGTTGAAAATCTCAAAAAGTTCCTATTAATATTATTTTTCTTATTATTATTATTGTTATTATTGTTGTTATAATTATTATTGTTCGGAGCGCCTGCAAGCACCGAGGATCTGAACATAGAAGCCGCAGCTTTTCAGTTGGGTGGTTGTCAAAACTTTTTAGGTACCCTAAATATTAGGTGCCGTATTATATCAAGGACCCAAAAAGGGACCATAATTTTGACAACCACCCAGTTATAGCATGTGAGTTAACATCCAATGCTGCAAGGTTGTAGCCTTCGAAACAGCACTTGGCACAGTAGCTCAAAGGTTTTTCACAATCCCTTCTCAGGGATGAGTCGCAACATCAACAACGAATCCACAACTTGAGAAGTGTATCGACAAACACAGCTAATGCTGTGCAAAGTGCTCCCAAGTTTGGGATATCGTTTTCCGTTCACTTTGTGCGACATGTCTCGCAATCTGTGCCCGTGCCCGGATGCTTCGACCTGGAAAGCCGACAGCAGCGTTGTTGAAAAATGTGGTTCAATCAGAAGGGTGAGATACCAACAGAATACCACAAGTCCTCCTTCTACTATTAAGGCCCCCATAAGACACAGCAGTAGTCTGGCGTGCTACATGAGTGCGGGGAACGGCACTGCCTTTGGGAGATAGTGACCTCCCGGATAGCTCAAGATTCGTCAGCGCCTGCTGGCTGACACGCACCTACGCAATACAATGGACAAGTCATTCTTGAACCGCACTTTGAGATGGTGTAGTGACAGGCTCCTGGAAGTGAGACGGAAGCCCAGGTGGAGAGCCTGAGGGTGACGGACAGCCGTTTGGCCAAGCCACTGTCCTGGGACGGTGTCATCCCCAGTTGGGCGGAGGGCCAGGGATTTGAGCACAGAGCATTCAGAGGAAATAGACCAGTCATAATCCAAATCACAAGCTTGTTTCAGGGTAAATCTTCTCAACGCAGCTGCGGTTGCTTCAAGGAATAGTTGCGAGATGTCAGCATACTCCGAGAGGTCCTGGTGCAATGAAACAGAACACAAGCGCTTTCTCCATGTCTGAAAGAAAAACAGTATCTTCTTCGGTCGCTTGCGTTCTTCTCTTGGTTCATACGTGTAGACACAGCTCGCTCACTCTGTCTCGCCTTGTCTCTCTCTTTCTCTATCTCTCTCGCTCCCTCCCTCCCTCCCTCCCTGCCTCCCTCCCTCCATCCCTCCCTCCCTCCCTCCCTCCCTCCCTCCCTCTCTCTCGCTCTCGCTCTCTCTCTCTCTCTCTGTCTCTGTCTCTGTCTCTGTCTCTGTCTCTGTCTCTCTCTCTCTCTCTCTCTCTCTCTCTCTCCCACCCGCCTGTGTTGCAAGTGCTGCAAAGCAGAGGTTGGAAGTTCTTCGGCTGGCGTCCGTGAAAAGCTGCGCCCGCTCCGAGCAAGTCGCAGCGAGCTCACAAGAAGCTGCAAACCGTGGGAAGCGCGGTTCCTCTCGCAGGTCGACGGGGGCTCGGAGCTCGAAGCCTCTGTGCTGCAGGACTTGCCAGACATGGAGCGAGAAGCGTCTGGTTTTGGAGCGAACCTTCGGCTCCTTTCGTCTCGCTTGAAGAGCTTGCTCAAGAGCCAGGCCAAATAGCTGAAGGCATGCTCTGTCTCAATGAACCAAACAAGCAGATATGCAACAGCGACAGCCGCCAGATGATCAAGAAGACACAAAGTTACAGTGTCGAGCCAAAAACCTTGAGTTTATTGGGCAGCAAGTGGAAGACGAACAAGAAATGGTGTGCGAAAGGATGCGACACCAGCCTGAGACCTTGGAGTAGATCTCCCATAGCACCGTGCGGTAGATGCGCCTCTTTGGGACACGCTTGTCCCTTGAGGGCTGCAGGTCCCAGGCCGTCGAGTCCAGTGCCTGGTCTTCCCCGGTCCCCGCCCTGTCACTTCAGGCGAATGGACCACCCGCCCCAAACGGAGCCAGAGGCAAAGGCCGGGCCGCCGGGCCGCCGGGGAGCCTGTCGTGGGTGGAAGTTCTGTTGGACCTTGCGGGACGCCGAGAAGGACGATGTGAGCGACTACGGCGATGACGATGGACTTTCCTGGTCCGAGCCGTGTCATATCTCGCGAAGAAGAATCCGCGAATTTCAGCGTGCCCGAAAGGTACGCATCTGCTGCCGCTGATGCAGATGCAGAGGCAGGCGGCGGGAGATGAAGCACATTGTGTACCCGTCCCTGATGGGAGGAGCCAGCACCAGATGAGACGGCTGAACAAGAGCAGCCGGAGGATCAGCTGTGCCCAGCATTCTCAGCTGCAAACCGCCTCCTTCTTTGCAGGATGCGGCTGTGACAGACCCTTACGTGACGGCCGAGTGCACTCCCCAGTCTGATGTTGCAAGATGGTGCCGAAACCCATGAAGTGCAAGGTCCGATCCCTACGAGGTTTTCACAGAGGAGGCTGAAGAGGCCAGAGTTCGCGGCTTGGTCTGTTCTTCTGGTGGGCTGCAGGCTCCAGCTGACCTCGCAGACTCAAATGAGCCCAAAGAAGTGGCTCTTGAAGAGGTCTTGCACTCAGCTAAGATCTCGGTCTCTCCGGGTGATGCCTCAATACAGAGCATTGCATACCGTTGCTCCCTCGTCTTTTCAGGACGCGGGCAAGAGAGCGGCCGAGTCCGAAGCGCTCAAGTCACCGAAGCCCTCAGCTGCTCCCGACCTTAGCCGGCCAGCCAAAGTTCAGCGGACAGAGGCGAGCGAAGAGACACGGTTCTGCTCGACACAGGTAGAGAGCGGTTGCTTGTGAGGCTCCAGCCGAGGCCGAGCCGCAGTTGACTCAGCCAGCACCGCTGCCTTTGAAGCAGCTGGCCGAAGTCCTCCAAGTCCCGCCTGCTCCGGCCTCCGAGGCCGAGGCCCAAAACCGATGTAGAGTCGAGTTCTCAGAGTTTCCTTGCAGCAAAGGCCTGGACACCCAGCTGGCTGCAGGACCCGGGCCCGGAGCCTGTTTTGGAAGTGGGTGGAGAGTCTCTTTTGCGGCCTTTCATGGAGGAGACCTCCGAAGGAGATACAGCTCCCACAGACCACCTGGCACAGGCTGAAGGGGGGGGGTCAGGGTCACGTTTCTGGAGGTTTTTTACCCGACATGCATGCTGGAGGTTCCAGAACGTGAGTTCTTGGACCAGGACAGCCTTGCATCTGGGCGCACACGCTGTAGCAATGATGTAGCCTGACGCACCAGCTTGACAGGACCGCCTTGACCAGGCTGGGGCGGACGAAGAACCTCGTGTTGTATGGAGCCTCTGTCAAAGACCGGCGTGCAGGCGCTGTCCTGGGACGAACGCTGTGTCATCGTTCGCCAGGGGCAGGCGCCCATCCCCCCGCATCCTCCCATCCTCCCGCTGCTTGAAGGATGAAAGATGAATTGTCTTTCGCTGTGCACCTCACCGAGTGAAAGGTGCACATCGAGCTGCAGCGTCGCAACCCGCCCATGGACAATGCTGACCTGCCACGGTCCTGGGGGGATGCCAAAGTAGTACATTAAGCGGAGACTTCGAGATCCGCTTCGAGTGTTTCCTCCGCGAGACCGGGATATTTTCCGTGCACTGGGTCTTTGAGGCTTCGGTTTTGCGACTGGTTGGATGAGCAAATGCCCCTGGTCGCCCGGTCTCTCAGAGTCTGAGACTCTCAGAGTCTCCACGCGCTCGCAACATTTCCCTCGCAGGTCAACCACTTCCCCTATGTCAAGAAGAGCGGAGCCTATGTCGCCCTGCCCTCAGCTGAAGCTTCGGCTCGAGGAAAGACACTGGCACTGGGAAGGACCTCTCTGATAATGAGATTGGCACAGACGGCCTCGACAAGCTCTTCCAGGTGACATGGGTAAGTAACAGTTGCTAAAAGATCTTGTGGGCATCTTCGCCATTGGGAGCGCAGGTGCTGCGAGGCCATCGAGTACCATGCGTCGTTCTGAAAGCCTACAGAAACTCCATTGATGCATCCTAGCAAGGATTAAAAAAAATCTCTGCCAGACTTGCAACGTGTAACAGTGTAACGTGCAGTTAAGCACGGCCTCCGAGGACTCATTCGTGGACACGCTAGTGGAGTATCTCTACACCCAGCCTGAGGCATCAGCCTCAGGAGCCGATGCAGTAAAAAAACCCAGTGATGGTTGCAAAAGACAAGGCTTTCCCGATGCATGGTATCCACATCTCGCACAACGACGTCCATGCGTCGGGTGTTAACATGCCTGAAGACGGAAAGATGATAGAAGCATGTGAAGCGAGAGCTCTTAGCGACTAATGACTAGTTGAATCAATTGAATGCGAGCTCCGCCAGATCTCCGACAAGGGGGCCTTTCGGTTGATTCGAGCCGCCGGGTGCTCAAGGGATGCTCAGGGTCCGCTACGCTTTGGAATCCGAGCCCTGCAGTCTCCAAAGGCAGCTCAGTGTGGGCATTATCCTCGTCTCACGACGCGGTTGCCACTGTGGCTGCGGCTGGAGGCTGTGAGAATCCGCCACAACAGTAGCAGATCATAGCAGATCACAAGAAGTGGATCCGGCAGGTGAATGCCCTCATGAACCCGCAGAAGGCTGGCAGCTTGTGAGCTCGATCATACTTCCGGCTGCAATGCTACGTGTCAACTCAGGTCATCAAGGACGCAAATAACGAGGGCTTTACCGTTTGCCTCATGCAGCCGCAGACTCGACCTTATCCCCCGGTTCCAGCAAACCTTTGACTTGCGACCCTGCTCAGGGATGGACTCTGCAGCCGCGAGAAGTGTGACCACTACTCCGGAGTTCATGCCTGCTGCCCAGACCTGCCACAAATGCCATCATCGCAAGATCAAATCTGTTGCCTGCTTCATACCCGTTGTTAGTGATTGCGTTTTCTGAGGTGCAGCTGCCGTACTTTCTGAACCAACCTGCCAAGGCATTCGCAGCCCTTTTTGCCATTTTCATCGGAGCTTCGAATCAAGTGCTTCTCTGCAGGGCTTCGCCAATCTGGAGCAGTTCGGCGCAAGTCAGCGGCAGCATGCCCGGAACCAGACCGGCGCGTTCCCGACAACGTTACCCGGGTGAGTTCCAAGGCGACAGACTTGGGCGGCGCCCTACAGCTCCAGCCAGGGCACCCTGGCCCCGAAGGCCGAGTTTTTGGATTCCAAGCACGTGTCTTTTTGCAGAGCTGTGTGGCTGTGTCTGCCCTGGTACAGGCTGCATCTCCAGCCGCTGCTCCAGAGATTCCCGCAAAAAAAGGCACGGCCGAAAATTCACTCCTTGAGACGCCGAGGTTGGAAATTCAGACGCGGGGCCTCTGCCCTGGCGGTTTTGAGAAGGGTTCCAGAAGGCACAGCTCGAGCGAATCCTAGGACCTTTGGCTCGCCGATGCTGGGAGTGAAGGTAAAGGCAAGTGCTTCCTGGCTTTGTTGCGTTGTCTTCGTGCAGGCTGCGCCACAGTTGGCAGATCGTAGCGCTGTGTCTGACCGCCATCACTGAACGTGATCCTCGCTGCCGTATTGGAGACTGACGTTGCAGCCGGACATGATAAGCATGGTCAACCACACTGTGCTCCCGATGACGATGATTTCTGACACCAGCGCAAGTTAACTTTACAAGAGTTCACGGGCACGCAGAGTGCCGCATGCCTCGATAGGCCCTCATGTGCATTTACGCCAGCAACGGCTAGGTCGCAGCATCGTGTCGCATTCTGGCACATGCAGCGGACATGGTCAGTTCCACAGAGCTGTCGACCGATGCCCAAGGGCACAGAGCCACTCGTCAGAACGGTTCGCAGAAAACAGAACGCGGGAGTGGCAGTGACAACATGTCATGACCTGTCGGATGTCCTGGCTGGTCACGTTTGTTAATCAGCCTGGCCTCAGTGGCCAAATGCAGCGGTTTTCGTAGGACTGTCCGTGTTGGTGATATCCAGGACCAGCGCGTTGCAAGTCACGAGATCTTCCCGCGCATCGCGCATCTCAGACAGGGCCCCAGCTGCCATGCCATCGCCTGCGGCAGTTCCTTCGACATGCAACGGCTCAGGCGGACTCCTCCGCTGCATGGTCTGTCGCAGATGAGGGTGCGCGGCCTCACTTGCCGCAATAGACCCGGACACACAGGGTGCTTTCCGCGGCCCCGAGGTGTTATCGAAAGAGATATGACTGCCAACAGCAATCGTGGCAGCGGCAGAGGAGATGTTCGAACCTCAGAGCTATAAGCGAGGTGGCAGCTCGAGATCATGCGAAGCTGTCGCCAGGTGCTGAAAGCCTGCCTCAATCTGGATGACGGTGCCCTGAGCTGGGTGATGAGCCAAATCCTGGCACAAAAAGGCCCTGTTGTTCAGGAGGCTGGTCCCATGCTTGGCCGCCACATCGCATGAAGCCGAGCTGAGCTCTGCCCATCTCTGCCCAGCAGGCAATGGGTCATGAGGAAGAGACGCACCCACAAGAGTCCGTGAGGAGCAGGTCGAAGGCCTCAAATCCGGCCCTCCCAACTCCACAGAGCCGGCCTATGCCTGCCTTTCCCTGCTTGCGTCTGCTGCAGGGAATCACGACATGGTCTTCGGAGGACGGCAGTCTTGGACCAAGCAAGAGACAAAAGAACTCGTCGGCTTTTCTCTGCACCTCCTTGCGTTTCTGAACAACAACGTGTATTCCCAGCACCGGGAATTGACAATGCTACTCTTGCTTGCTCAGGGCGCCTCAGAAAACAAAGTTTCTCAAGGGCCTGGCTTGTAGCGGCTGAGTGTCAGAACCATTGAAACATCGCAGCTGGTTGAAGGCGGACTGAGTTCTGTGCAGTTCTGGGCCAAGGCGTCGGCGTCGGCGCCAAGGGAGATCTGCCTCCGCAGGCAGTGCCCCAGGGCTATTTGGCACGCAGACTCCTCTGTAAAATGCACGTTTGCTTCGGCAGGCTGTCGGGGGCCGAAAGACCAGGAGGACTGCTAGCGTCAGACATCGTTCGGACCTGCTACTAAGTCCCAGGCCTGGGGTTTCGCCGACTAGCCCGTAGAGCCTCCAGAGTTTTCTCGGCGTTGTTGTGTTGCCTGTGCACAAGGGTTGCGCCGGTGCAGGTCAAGCCGTCACACAGTGTCGCTCCAGCATGCTCCTAGCAGTCTCCTAGCGTGCAGGAGAAGTTTGCTGGCGCAGATAGGCAAGGGACAACCTGGCCCGTCCCATTCTTCGCCTACGATGGCACTTGGACTCAGACTGCCTCTCGGAAGTTTTGTTCTCCCCGAGTTTCGCCGGCTTCAGCCGAGGCTAAGATCTCGGACGTGCTGCGCCCGGTTGTGGATAGCTTCTGGTTCCAAACGGTCATTGTGTTCTTCGCCGGGCTCTCGGCCCTGAAGTGTGCAAGATGTATGAAGCCCCATGGAAGCATGAATGTACAAGGTCGTCGTTGCGCTTTTCGGTGGCGATCTCGCGACCCTCACAGATTTGCCTGACGAACCCGGCTTGTTTATACTCGACCTCATGATGTCCATAGCGATTCTCGGCTAGTATTCCGAGAGTTGACCAAAGCGACAGAAGTGAGGTTTTACTCGCGCAAGCTTGGCTTTCAATCCAGGACGGTGGTCTTCTGTATAGAGATGGCTTTGAATTGCCTGGCGCGTTGCTTGGCTGCAGCGACAGCTTCTGAAGGTAGCCTTTGTAAAACAGTGTTTGGCAAGAGTTGTGCAAGGCATGCATGTCTACCCGCTGTCTTTCTTCTTCGTGATGGACTTCATTGGCACTCTGTCAATGGCATTTGAGCCTGGGGCAGCAGAGAGAACACGTCGGGACTTAGGAAGTTGTGGAAGGGAGCCCACCCGTGTACTGCCAGTAGCTAGTCAGCTAGTGCAATCGACATTGATCAGGAGATCTCCTTCCTGCTTGGCAACCAGGCAGGCCCAGAACGGTGACGGCATTGGGTTTCTGGCATTTCCGGTCAGTGGGCGCTCCCCGCCACGCGTCATGTGATGCAAGAGTAACCTGAGGCCGTAAGACCCCTCAATCTTGTACTCCGGAGTCAAGAGAAGTGCTGTCGTAGAGTCGAGCATCTTAAACTCGCAGCACAAGAGACCGCAGGGATCGGATGCCTCGAACATGGCAGGCAGATATGCAAACTGTGCAAGATGGCTTCGATGCCGTCTTGATGCGTGGCTGAGCGGCATGCGAGTGCGGTGCAACATGTTCAGTGCCAGTACAGGGAGGAAAGGATTTGTTCTTGAACGGCAGCAGCCGGGCAGACGGTCAAAGAGTGTGCCATCGCACGAAAGCACTGCAAGGCCATGCATGAGTCATGCAACTCGCATTTCCTCGCCTTGGTGGAGCTTTGGTCATGTTTGAAAGCTAGCTTCCTCACAACCGTGCAAAGGTACGGCTCGAGCAGCGAAGATCGGAGTTGCTTGGCAGGGCACCTCTGTTTCTGTGGTTACCCGACCTGCCTCAATCGGGCGACTTGCTGGTTGGAAATCATCACGCGCGGCACTGTTGGGGATTGGCGAGCCCACCAGGCTCGCATCGGGCGGCTGTCGAAACTCATGAAATACGCCCTGGGCTTGGCACTGCCCGCTTGGTGATTCTTGCCGCATGCGATGTCTTACCACTGGATTGTTTGCCTATGCTGAGGTGTCTTACCGCTTTACCAACCGCCACGGTTCTTTTTCCAGGGACAAGCCTGCAGAAGCCAAAGTCTTGTCGACAAAATTGATGCTGACGTTGCCGCTTAGCCAAGCTTTTGATGCTGTCGGTTGAACCAAATCGTGAGCAGTTCCGTAGCATCACCGCCACATCTCAGGTCCACCACAGTGTCCATGCTCACCATCGTGACTTGCCTTGATTGACATTGGCCGGAACCCCGGAACGCTCAGCTGGTGCTCAGGTGCTCGTATTTACGTTTCCACTCTTCACCATCGGACTGTACCCGCAGCAGGCAGCGAGCATACGCTGGTCATGCATTTCGTGCAGCACGGCTTGTGCATTGGAGGACCTGTCCATGAAGACCTGGGCCGAAAAGCTTGAGGATGCTTTCAGGCGGCTTTCAAAGCCTTGGAAGCAGACGCGTTCATGGGTGAGGGAACCTTGAAGTTCAATGCGGAATCCTCTTTGAGTAGTCTGTCCCTGCAGTGAAGCGGTGGCCATCCAGCTCAACTCGCCGGTGAGTTCGAACTTGTTCCAGGCTGGACTTGCCTTTTTCCTGAGCCGCAGCCTTTGAGCCCATTCAGACTCTCGGCGTTGCACTGCCAGGAGAAAGTAGCCAGAATGATCAGCTTTTACAGCAGCTTGGCTTCTATGGTCGAGAACAGCGCTCCCGCTGCGGGGGGCTGTCGTCCAGACAGGTTTGCAAAGAAACGCATATTCATGTTGCACTCCCCTGTGCACTCCACCCCTACGAGTGCTCAGCTTGTTCTGAGCTGCAGGCACTGTGGGCTACAAACCCTTCCGACTGGAGGGGCAGCTCGGATGCATCCATGGTTTGGCGCTCAAAGCATCGCTCCTTGCTGCGCAGGTTCGGGGAGGATGTCGTGCTCGAGAACTCGACGATGACTGTCAGAGGAGCATCTTTGCTGGCTGGGTCAGCTCCAGCCCTTTTGGCTGCACTTTTGCGATATGCTTTCGAGATGCTGTGCGGCTGTGCGTCCGAGCAAAGTGCAAAGGTCCGGATTTCCCACATCTTCAAGATCTCCGTAACTTGGCAGTGTTCGTGATCAGCTGAAGCCATGCTGAAGTGTCAGATCGGAGCAGTGGCGATCCAGCCTTTCCCTTTGCAGTGGCAGCATGCGCTGGGCAAGGTAGAGAGTTGCATGGTCCAGCAGCTTGGCAGAAATGGCAACAGATATCTTCGCAAAGCACTCTTGATTTCCCATGATGAATGAATGGTGCGTTATTGATGCATCTAGCTGTTGCAGGCGTGCTGCTTGCCAGATGGACCCGCTGCCGTCGATTTTCTTCGACTTCACAAACCCACAGCAGTCGCCCTGCTGCAAACAGAAGCTTCCAAGCGGTTCAAACAGGGTCTCGGTCTCTTTGACTTTAGTCCACGTGGATGGAAACTGGGTTTCTGCACTGTCCTGCGAGTCGCCAGGATTGAGTCAGCCCAAGACATGGCCTTGATGTGCTTCATCATCGCGCTGATGCTGGTGCCCGTGCTGCATAATTTGCCTTCCAGATTGCATCTGAAATTTTGTTGCTTTTTTGGGAGGGAAGGATGGATGGATGGATTTATGAAGACCACGACGGTAATTGTTGCTGTGCTCGTTCTCGTTCTCGTCGTCGTTGTGGTGGTGGCGAGTTTCAGTTCTTTTTCCTGATGTCTTGCTTCGCTGCTTCTTCGTGTGGCCGCTACCCCTGGACCAGTGGACCGATTCCATTTGCGTATGCGTAGGCGTGCAGATAGTGCAGATAGTGTTCTCGGACCCATAGTGTTTTTTCCGTTTGACCGGCTGCAGCACCGAGATCGTCTCCTTGATTCTCAGCCACACTCTCGATCGGTTGCTTGTGCAACCTATGGACCGTATGTTGCTGCCTGGCCGAGATTTACACAGGCGGTATTTTCCAGGTCCGGCAAACAGGCATGCTTGCTTCAGCCATCTTCAGCCTGCGGCATGGCTTTCATCATGATTAAAGAGTCATCAGAGTTTGAACCATCTTGTTTCTTCGCTGTACAGCGACTGGCATCTCAGGTACATGGTGAAGAGCATGGCCGCAGATCTCTTGAAGCAGTTCGGTCAGAAACTCAGTGAGTTTTGCAGCGGCGGTGGTTGTGCTTGTGGACATCTGACTACATCGTATGAGGTTTGGACGACAACCTTGAGGAAGAAGCAGAACCGATTGCAGAGACAGCCCTGATCGAGGAACTTGAGCATTCTTGCCACGGTTCCAGACCTGAGCCAGAGAGAAGACCGGGAGAACGCAGTGACGTCGTCACTGTGTCGAGTCGTGTGTGGTGGCGTGAAGGGATGGTGAACGAGAGCAGATGTCGTGCTTGTCAAGATCTAGGAGGGGCAAATCTGTGGTTGCCCCAAACTGATCCCTTGGATACCATCGATTGAGGGTGCACCACTGCTAGTGCTAGTATGTGCTCTGGATTGGATGCCGCAGGAGATATTCAAAAAGTTCGCGCGGCTAGCTAATCTGGCTGCAGTGCGAAACGAGCTCACCGAGGAGGAAATGGCAGGCCAGGGTAAAATCGGTTTCGTGACGGTCTAGCATCCGCTGACCTCTGTAGGCATGGACACTGATGCGCGGGCCGTCCTCCTCGATGTAATGCACTTACAGGCCAGGATAGGTCGGGCAGAGAGAGGATACCGATGTTGGCTTTTTCCCTGGTGGCTTGGGGAGGTCAACAGGGACTTGTCATCGTTGGCTGCCGTGGCCAACGCGTCGGAGCCGTGCTTTGCCAACCTACCGGTCAATGAGTTCCAAGCTTAAGCAGCAAACTTTCCCTGTCATGTCACAGCGCTGAAATATTTGCAAGCTCCTTCTGGCAGCTGCGATCCTGAGGTCCGTCTTCTCCTCCTTTGAGTTGGACGTTCTTGAGCTGCCCGTGGAGCAAAACCAGCAAGTGGACGCTTGGCAGAAGAGAGCGTGCTGCAGAGCTCTGACACCAGGGCTACTCGTTCTTGTCAAGTGGGACCACAGCAGGCTACTACTGCCGCTGCCAGGTTGTGCACATGTTTTTTGACTCCTTGATTGGAAGATCGACTGGCCGCATACTTGCTCAGCCCGAGACGTTCCACAAATTTCACTCGGCCTCTTGGCCTGAACACGTGAGCCTCGCAGGTTTTGCCCTTCGGTGGGTGCCCTCTGAGCAGCTGAGGTCGTTTATTCAAACTACAACAGCCTGCCCTACCACAACTACTTCCATGCCGTCGATGTGACATATACCGTGCACAGGTCTGCCCTTCATGTACGCAAGTAAGCTGATTCGAGCACAAGTGACAACAACTGCCCGCTGTGCAGGCTCATGGATATCAACCGCACAGATGCTTGGTTGTCAAACGTTGAGAAGGCAGGATCGGTAAGTTGTAACGACAGCACCTGACTGTGTGATTATCAGCAGAAACTTTACTTGCCCGCCAGTACGCGCTGCTTCTTGCCGCACTTTGCCACGATGTGGGCCACCAGGGAAAGACAAATCCGTTCCTTGCTCACACCTCAGTTGACGTACCGTTGAGTCTTCGGAGCATCTTTTGCTAGCAGAGTATGGCAGGTGGAGACGCAGCATCAGCTCGCACGGGTATACAACGACAAGTCTCCCCTTGAGAAGCTGGGCATAGCTGGGCTGTGCGTTCCGAGGGGAAACAGTGCACGGTACTGTAGCAGTAAACAGTTTGTTGACTGGCCAAGGAACATGCATGCTGCCAAGCTCTTCGAAATTGCAAGCAACGAGGCGCAGCGGCGGTCGTTTCCTGTGGGCCATCAGCCATGACTGTGGCAGACACTGAGAGCCGATTAAAAAGGCAGCGGAGAAAAGCTTTTGCTGCCGGATGCATCGCCAGGACACGGACGTCTTCAAGCGACTGGACAAGGATGCGCGGAAGACCGCGCGCAAGGTTTGCATAGCGGCCATCCTTCACACGGACAACGCCGCTGTATTGCACGGAGGTGATCTTGTTTTTCCATTTTGCATGTGAGAGCCCTTGCCCAAAGTGCATGTACACATACTCACATTATACATAGAATACAGATGCAGATCAATTATATGCAAATAAGTCTACATAACTACAGAAAAAAAGCTCGACAAATAGGTAGGTAGGAAAACAATACATATATATGTATATATATATATATATATATATATAAATACACACGCATACAGCTACACACACACACACAAACAAGTTGCGTATTTGTTTATGCAAGCCTGTTTGTGTGGAAGCCCCGCGCTCAGGCTGAGCATTTCGAGATGGTGAGGCGTGCTTCTGCATGGTAGCCGGATGGCAGCGCCGAGCTTTTGCAACTTGAGTTGTCTGCCAAAGCAGTCGCAGAGCAGTCGCGTACAGGGAAGTGAGCAAGATATATGAGCTCACCTCTGACCTGTGCGATGGACAGGCCACGCTGATTCTGATTACGCAGTTCGCTTTCACAAGCAGTGAGTTATCCCGTCATGATGCCAAATGCAGGCAGCACAGCTTGACCAGCTGGACATGAACTATGTGGAACAGGCCTGCAGTGGAGGATAAATGTGGCATTCTCTATTACCCTGAATAGAAAGAATCAGGGAAATGCTTCGTGGTCTCTTTGCCAATGCCAGCAGCGAGCAAACCCTCGCAGAAGCTCTCAGCTGCCAGACGATTTCATCATGAAATCGAGGTGCTGTCGAAGAACTCCATGTTCTTCATGGAGGTGTTCCTACACTTTGCAGATGTGCCCACGAGCTCAGAACGATGTGTCTACAAGAGGCGTGGTTTGTAAAGCCAGCGACCAGAGACAGACGTGAGGTCAAATCCCCTGAAGCCCTTCAAGATGTGCCATGCCTGGGCATGGCGCGTTCTGGAAGAGTTCTTCAACCAGGCACAGGGCCTGGGCAGCAAACAAGTACTGCTCTGGAGTAAACCAGTGGCCTGCATAGACCGCATGGTCGCAAGCTGCCACCAGGGCGACACCGAAAAGGAGCTCGGCTTACCTGTAGGCCGGTCTTCCTGCATCCCGTCCCAAGCTTGTCAGAGGAAGATCTGCTCTTGCGACGGCAGGAATGCTGAATGATAGAGACAAGATAAATCGTCCCGGCTCTCAACATGGTTGCTTTGCTGCACAGTGTAATGAACGAGCTGCGTCAAAGTTGAGTTGAAGGCACACTCCCGACTGCATTCTGCTGGCCCAAGGCTTCATCAACTTCATGGTCGCCCCATTTGCTGCTGGGTCGCAAAGGCTCCAAGGCTGTGAGTGACGGAATTGGCTCTGATGCCCATGTGATGCCCATGACGGCCCTGCAGTTGGCTTTAGTTGGACCCTTAGCGGTGGTGCAGTGAGGTCTTGCACACAGTCAAAGTGTTCCCTGGCCTCCATTCAGCCGTGCCCCCAGCTGTGGTTGTGGCCTTCGGTGCCTGAGATCGTCTTTGCCGCTGCGTAAGGTCTACACTCAAATGGGGGAAAACCTCGAGCAATGGCGACATATGTGGGTTGCTGAAGTGAAGCCAAGCGAGGAGGCAGAATTTGCTGGGGGACCGGGGACCTCGCACTGATGATGCCACATGAATCGCCCGATAAACGCCACCCTGTCAACAGGAGATCGCAAAGAAAGATGCTGATGCCGCTGACACGCATATTCTACAGCGTTTACGGCGCACGTGCTTCTACTTACCTTGTTCGCACAGCTCAGCCGTGAGGTGCAGAAGATCAAGGACACGGCTTTGGAGCTTCGAAAGAGGACAATGCCATAGGCATGTCTCGATCGAGGTGACTCGAACAAGGCTTTTGAAGACCGGTCTGTCGGTGTTTCAGAACCTCGCACATGATCAAGCAAATGCATGTCAGTAGCGACGAACTGTGAAGAAGACAGCGTGCCAGAAGAGTGTGTTGGACGCGTCGCGCCGAGCCAAGGTCTTTGGCCCACGGAGTCTGTCACAGCACCAACGAGTCAACAGTCTCTTTCGCTGTGTTTCGCGAGACGAGAGTCTCGGTTCCATCGAGTGGCGCTGTACGAGTCATGGGGCAGAGGCAGGTACTTTGGATGCATCACCCCCACTTCTACGGTTGTTGCAGTACATGCCTTGGCCTTGTGATTCGTGCGGCAGCTGTCATCCAAAGCCTGGAGCCTATACTGGGCCTACACCGTGCTCGCATCTGCTAGCCTGGTGCAATGTCTGACCTTCGTAGATACAGGCCTTGTTCAACGAACACGGCCACAGGGCTATGCCCACCCGATAATGTACAGACTTAGCTCCCTGGCAAAGCCAAGCGGGTAGAAAGTGTGTGTGGGGGTCATGTGCAAGGCCTGCTGCGCGTACGGGCAGAGGCTACCAGTAGTCACCAGGACCTTATCAGCTGAATCCGCAGGCCGCTCCTCCGACTCCAAGTCCGGAGCTTGCAGGCACTTCCGAGATGGTGTGTGAACTTTTCTGGGATCTTGCAAGAGGAAGCCCCTGCCACTGCCAGGCCAAGAACAGCAGGCTGGTGCCTGGGGTGCTTTTCCGAAGCATTCCCTTCTATAGAATCTATACACGTTCTTCCCGCAATGTGGTGGGAGATGAGATTCTGAAGTTTAGAGCGGCGCGACAGGAGTGGTGGCCTGGTCATGGTCGAGGACGAGGAGGCGTGATTGCATAAGAGCTGCAGGTTTGCCTGTGCAGGCGCATTGCAGCACATGCACATGCCGGAAGCAAGCATACTTTTGTCAGCGGTCGCGGTCATCCAGCTTTGTGCACAGAGTTTTCAGATGTTTTCGGTGTTTTGACGGGTCTCATCGGGTAGAGTGGCAGTGGTACGCTTCTCCCCTGCACTCTCTCCCTCCTTATGCCTAGAAGTAGCCATCCTAGTCGTAGTAACAATAGTAAAAGCAGCAGCAGTAGCAGTAGCAGTAGTGGTCGTGGTAGTAGTCGTAGCAGTAGCAGTAGTAGCAGTAGTAGCAGTAGTAGCAGTAGTAGCAGTAGTAGCAGTAGTAGCAGTAGTAGCAGTAGTAGCAGTAGTAGCAGTAGTAGCAGTAGTAGCAGTAGTAGCAGTAGAAGTAGAAGTAGTAGTAGTAGTAGAAGAAGTAGTAGTAGCAGCAGCAGCAGCAGTAGTCGTCGCAGTCGCTCTGGAATTGACCGGGCAGTAGTCGTGGTAGTGGTGGCGGAGTAGTTGTTGTGATGGTAGTAATAGCAGTAGGAGGAGGAGCAGCAGCAGCAGCCGCAGCAGCAGGAGCAGGAGCCGGAGCAGGAGCAGGAACAAAAGCAGGAGCAAAAGCAAGGGCAGCAGCAGGAGCATGAGCAGGGTCAGTATCAGTAACAGTTAGCAGCATCAGCACTAGCAGCTGCAGCTGCAGCAGGTCGGTAGGAGGAGTAGGAGATAGGTAGGGGGGAGTGAAGGCTTTCGGAGTAGGCGTAGCAGCGTAACAGTAGTTGGCATTGGCGGTTGTGATGGTGCTGGTGGTGGTATATAAGCACGAGTGGAGTTGCTCTGCCTCTCGTCTTCCTTCATCTAAAGGAATAAATAGTAAAGTTTTTGTCTCCACTTGCCACTACCTCCGTGTCTGATTGCCTCCCTGTCTCTACCATATCAACTATCGATTCTGCGAAGAACCCATGGCGAGCCTGCGTGCGGTTTGCTGCTTGCAGATTCGCGGAGCTTCCAAGGCTGGAACAGTGGAAAAGGAGGTGGAAGATGGGCTGGAGGCGGAGGCGGAGGCAGTGGGGGCCACTTTCACTCTCTGTTTTCCTGTTCCTTGCCTGGATCATGTTGATTGCTGTGCCAGCAGGTAGAGGACGGATGTGGCAGGGGAAGAGCCTCGTTGCAAAGGCCGGAGTGCTCCTGAGCGCCCTTGGCTCCGTTGCAGGACTGCTAGTGCTGGTGCAGCTTGCGTCTCTTGCGCAGGTCAGAAAGGATGTGAAGCTGCCCGAGGGTCAACCAGACTTGGGGTTTCAATGGAGGCGGAGAGTGCCAGAACTCCAGGGATGATGCGCTGGGGTTTGTTTAGGCAGGCCAGATAGCGGATGTGTGCATGAGCGAGGCATGTCGGAGACGGCAACGCCCCCCGCCTCACATCTGTGGCCCGGTCCTCCTTCGTCGGATCGGTGGCCAAGGTACGGCGAGGGTGACCTTCAAGCAAGCCATTCATGAACCAGACATACGTTTTCTGTCTCCGACATCCTGCCATTCACGTCCCCTTCGCGTGCGCACGCAAAATCAAAGTAGCGACCTCTCACGGGCTTGATGCTACCATCGTCATCGTCGTCATCATCGCCATCATAATCAAGACCATTATCGACAGCAGCGTCATTTTCGTGCTGGTGGTGGTGCTGCTGCTGTCTGACGTTGGTCCTGGTGATTAGGATGCTTATTGCCACCATGAAGCTGGAAGGTCGGCAGTGGACCCTAAGCCCCTGAGCCGGCCCTAAGCCCTGTGCGGCCAATGGGTGAGTATGTCCAGCAAACCAGGTTGGTGACTGCTTGCTGCGTGTCAACGGCCACGCTCCCAGCCGCTCCCAGGTTGTGGAAATGGGAGTCTGTGAGGCTTAGGGTTTCCTTTCTACGGTTTCCTTTTCAAGAGTCCCTCCGCTCAGGGTCCTGCAATTTGTTTCTGTTGAAGAACCCGGTATTGTCTGAAATTCCCGAAGTACTATGGCAATGCTAGCAGTGGCTGTGATAACAGACATTACAAAAAGTAGAAACAAATAGTAGTCACCCTGCCCTCAGAGTACTGTAGTGCTAGATCCTAACAGCCAAGAGAGCTTCGCTGACATATCAGGCCTGGACATGGCGATGATGACCGAGAAGCAAATCACGGATCTCCTGAAACAGCGACCGCTGGAGTTGCGCTTCGGAGACGAGTAGGGGGCGCTTTATTCAGGCGAGGCGAGTCCTCGCCTGCCCGCCGAGAGAAAAAGGCTCTGCATCTCAGCCCTTGGCTTGGAGAAGCTAGTTTGGAGAAGTCACGCGAAGCGCGATGAGTCACAGCCGTCAGGGAGTTGACTCCTCGCGCAGATGCCTATGCTGCCGGTTTCAGGGATTTGGTGGGAGCTTGTGTTTCCAGCCGTTCAGGAGATTCTCCGGGAAATCCTGTTGCAAGTCCTGAGCGAGGCGCCTTGCTGCGAGAACTTCAGAACTTGGACTGAACCAAGCGACGACGTGGAGGTGCAGGTGAAGGATGTTGAGCTTGTGTGCACCTCGCTGCGCCCACTCAGCATCTTCGACCTTGCACCAGCAGTGCTGGAAGGCAGGGCCGGGCTTTGCCCAAGAGGTCACAGCCAGCAAAGCCCTGCCTCTTGCAGATCGAAACTCAGTGGCTTTCGCCTTCAAGGTGGGGACGAACAACAAGCTCGACAGGCGAGTAGAGAGAAGGGACCATGCAAAGGTGTCGGCTTGCGATCCCAACGACCTCGAGCCCGTGCGCGAGATGCTGCTCCTCGAGGCATCCGAGCATCAAGCACAGCAAGCACAGCGAAAGCAATGCCTGTACGAGGAAGACATGTTTCACCGTCTGCTTCACCTGACCTGGGAGGCGGAGTCCGGTGGGGCGCGCCACCTCCTACCACTTCTGGTGCAGAAGGCCGGCTAGCTGCTGGCCGCTAGCCTGCCTGTGTGAGACTACACAGCCGCCGCGGTTCCCTAGACGGGGCGCGAGGTGAGCGCGGATCGCTGCAAGACACATTCCAAGCCCCAAGGAAAAACAAGCACGGACGCGCTGACGCTCAGCGCGGGCATCCATCAATCACCCAGCCACCCAGCGAAGGAGCAATCGAGACACAGACTCCTATGTAAGACTTCACCGCACGGAAGCCCCAGTCGACTCAATTAGCTTGTCCAGCCTTCTCAACGCACGTTGAGTCCAGCAGCTGCGAGCGTCTTGTAGCCCCAATCTGCGGCCTCGAATGTTCTAGCCGCCTGTGGTCTCGCATCGCCTGGTGCTACATCTTCGTCCGTAGGTCGGCGTCGCGGAAATGTCATGCGCTTGCTTGTCACGTCTTCCTCATAGGTTGGCATGGTTTCACGCAGTCCAACTGGAGTTCAGGCTACCCCACAGCTCCAGAACTTTCTTCCGGTTGTGTGCACAGGGAACCTGACACCCGAGTCTTGCTGAGCGACCTTGGCCCCAAGAGCATGTGTGCGTGCCTGCATGCGTGGTGTTGCTCTTCAGCTCTACGACGAAGACCTCCTCACGGCTCACCTGAAGGCTCGCAGCCGGTGTTTCGCAATCTCCGGCGCTGGTACTGTACTGTGTCGGGCACAGGTGCGCATGGAGGTCGGAGAAGATCCATGAGGCCGGCGCGGCTGTACAGCGAGGGCACACGGTGCAGAGCTGTTCAGAATTCGGAAGCTTAGTTTTGCCAAAAGTTTCAGGCGTGAGTTTGCTTGTCCATCGAGTTTGCCTGGAACAGCTCTCTCACCTGCCTTTGGAGCGACTGCCAAGCTGATTCAGCCAAAAGCATCCGAAGTGTTTCTTGCACAATCGAATTCCAAAGCCTCATATTGTGAAGTCGAAACTGAAGATTGCAATCACCAGAACCTGTGCTTGCTTGAGCTGCCATTTCCGGCTCGAGCGAGGAGTAGTCAACACGAACGGGACTTCAGCGACTTGTGGTATTGGTAGTGGTCTAGATGGTGTTGCAGCCCGTACTGTAGTGTTCGGGGCAACAGCGCGTAAGAACATGACCATCTACAACAGGTCCATGGTCTACTTGGTTTAGGTGGTACTAATGGGCCAGAGATGCAAAGACATCCTGCCACGTGCTGGTGAGCGATGGTGTTCTGCCGATCTCACCTCAGTATCCAGATGGCGGCAGCTACTTGTCTCGAGGCCTAGAGGGCAAATGAGTGCTTTACCTGGCATCAACGTGCTTTCTCAAGAGCTGTCAACACGCTCATCCTCTTGAAGCTGAGGTTGCCGCCCAGCGCCTGTCTCTCCCGAGGCTGCCTGGATCTCAGTCTCTATCTGGCAAGCACAGGACAGGAGGATGAAAGCGGCTTGCTCGCAGGCGAGCTGTCGAAAGCTGTCGCGGAGGTCCCCTGCTCGCAGAATTTCTTGCAAGCAGCTTCAAGTCTTTGACATACGATGTTGGCTGCAACAGCCGAGCTCAGGATTTTTCCGGACATGCTGGCCAGACAAGCATAGCAGCGGGCTCCTTGAAAACTGGCCTAGTTGCAGGGAAGCTGGAGTTTGGAGTTTTCTCCTCCAGGCATTGGCATGGTGAGCGCGACACGGTCAGCGTCATCTTCTAGGTGCTTCGGCCCTCTTACTGAAGAGCAACGAAGGAACGTTTAGTTTTCGTCGCAACCTTCAGGGCCTGGCCCTCTCAGAGCGAAGAGCAGAGCCAGGAGACCGAGTGCAGATCTTCGCTGCAGAGCCTTCGGCCTTAGGCCTTGGCTTTAGATTTGCCTTTGCTGGAGGAAGTGGAGGCGAAGGTGCCCGCCGGGGCGGTAGTGGGCATCGGCCTCGGCGAGCCTTCTGTTGGAGGCACGAAGCATCACGAAGCCACATTTTGGCCCAGGTGATGTCACGAAAGAGGCCGGCATGGAGGAGACGTTCGTGGCATGCGCATCATGTGCACTGGGACCTGGTTGCTGTCGGACTGTCCCCACCCCGGAGGAGCTTCTCAGAGCGGCTCCTGGTGGAGGAGGTTTTGCTGAACGTTTTCACCTTGAGGGGATGAATAAAAAAACCTCCGGTGGAGGCGGCCTGCGCATTCACAAGAGATGCCACGGCTGCGGCGCCTGGCTTCACTCGAACGCCATGGCCTGAGAGCTCGAAACGGGGCCTTTGACTCCACTGCGGCTTTCGGCTCTAAGGACCCAGAGGAGCACGGCTATGCGACCTGGCAGATACTTCGTCTTCTCTAGGGCCGGGGAGCTCCATGCCTCCCAGGTGCCCGAGGAGGCCCGTGAGAAGTTTTCACTCACGGGTTCGCGGCTCAACTTCCTGTCACAACATCCATGGCTGGACTCTGCTGAACGACCCAAGGCCGGAGGAAGGTTCGAGCAACTCCGAAGGGCGTGCCTGTGGATGTGCTCCCGCAAGGGGTTGAGGCCCGCAGCTCTGCTGCTGTGGGTATGCTTCGTCGAGAAATTACGTCGAGCATGCAGAGAGGTGTTTACGAAGATCTGCAGTGTGCAGGTGATGCGAGACACGTCGGTCAAGTACAAGGACTAGACTCCAGCTGGCTTCGGCACGATGAGCGTCGACACGACCTGTCACAGACGTAACTGGATACTGGCAGGACAGGACTCGCATGTTGGTCTGTCAGCGATGCTACCGATTGCAGCACTATCACAGGCCGCCAACAGGGAGCGGGCGTGCTCGGGTGTGATGTGACCAAGATGACAGGATGGACACCCCTGTGAAGGGCGGCTTCTACCGCATGGAAGGTGGGCGAGATTGGGAGCATGAGGCCGGAACTGGATTCTGTGCTGCGGATCCTGCAGAGTCCAGAGCTCTAACCGTGGCAGGCCGAGATCGTGGAGAAGATTGTCCGTCGAATGCGCAGGCCACTCGGTCACTGGCAGTTCGAATGACTTGGAGTGTTGAGATCTTAAATCCACCTCAGAGCGCTTCTTATTACCGGAAGGGAGGTGGCCACCAGCCAGAGTGTTGGGCAAGAAGGGGGAGCCATGTCATCGATACCTTGAGATTATGTGCAGGAAGGCAACCTCAGTTACTGGTTTCAAAGGGGGTTCTGGGTGCCCTGCTGCTAAGTGCTTCTCTTATTGCAGCAGGGTGTCCCAGCAGCATTCGTCACCCGAGCTCTCGAGAGCTGCGAATCATAACCCTTGAACGCATCGGGTTCAGGGCCGGCAGACCCTTAAATCCGAAGCCGTAAGTCTCTGCTTGCTTTCCAGAACAAAGAAACTATTCATCGGTGATTAGATCCGCGTGCGGCCGCTTGGGGTTCCAGTTGTTCCAGCCATGCGCATGCAGCATCAGAGGCCTGATCTTTACTTGGTTCCCCACATCCTGGGACGTTACGATAGGAGAGACGCCTGGCTTCGGGCACCCGTCCCCAGAGACCCCTAGAGCCGCAAGTAGGACTGAGTAGGTGTCATCGGACCTTGGGTCTGGTTTGCCGATGGTGTCAGTGTGAGCTCATTCTGCGGCGCGTTCATGTCAGGTCTCGTGGATGCTCTCTCGGCAGTGCTCGTGCAAGATACTTCTGCTGGCCTCGCTGTCGACACTTTCGCTCATGATCCCGCTAGCTTTTTCGTCGATCTTGGACACGGGTTCTGCTCACGCAGACATCGGCGATTGGCATTGGGTGGAATCCCAGCATGCACGGCTCCGTCAAGCTTTCAAGCTTTCCAGGAAGGCCTGGCCTCTGCCGGCAAATTGGCAGCCCAAAGTCAGTCATGATCTGAATCTCGCGCCCATGCAGGTTTCGGTACCGCAGGTCCAAAATGCATCCTCTGCCCCTGTGCCTGGAGTTACTATCCGCGAGCCGAAGAATATCTGGCTGTATTGTGCGGCGCAGTGGGAAGAATGTGCTTGCGACGGCAAGATTCGATGGGGCAATGCCGGCTCTTGGCAAGTGGTTCCGTGGTCAACCGTTACCAAATCCAATCGTGTGAAATGTCAAGTCGGTAAGGAGCCGGGCTTTCCCGCCTTGAACGATGTACGGCCGGGTGACGATCAGAAGCACTGTGAGTGTCAAGTAAATACAGCAAGCCAGATGTTCGCATACATCAATCTTCTCTCGTTGCCCAAAAGCGATCGGAAATACATCGACGTGGAGCCAGTTGCATCTTGCGGATCTTTCGAGCAAGATACTTCGGCAGCAGGGCAGCTTCTTTGGGAGGGCATTCGGGGAGTGTGTGATCAGCAGTGGTCGCAGCCACGGGAGCCCGGG